CTACTAGGAGCAAGTGTTTGGTTTAGGTCTCAGAGTTCTTGGCACATAAAGAATAAAGAGACCATCTTGGACTGAAAACTTCCTAGGGCAGTTGTTACTACTAGCAACTTTAATCACAGAGAAGAGCCTTCTAAACACCTGGCTTAGGGTAGAACTGAATGCTGAGAGTCCTGCCTATCTGGGTTAATGCAAAACATACCCCTACCTTGCCAAGTGGCTGAATAAGCTGACCTGTGGGATAGAGTTCTATGGTATTGTTCACTTAAACAATGAAGAATGTCTGACAAGCACAGCAATTTTAGATTTAGCAACATTATAAGCACTTTTTTTTCCTTTGGCAATAATGATCCAAGTTCGGCCACTTCTTGAGACAATCTTCACTTAAAACAATAAAATCACATAATAGAACAGCAGTTCTCAACCTTGTCTGTACATTTGAATCCCTAGGAAGCTTCAAAATACACTGTTTCCTGCATTCCCCAAAAAATGCTGACTTAATTTGTCTGGGGTAAGGCCTGGGTTTCAGTGTGTATAGGGCTCCCCAGGTAATTCCAACATGCAGATAGGTTTGAGAGCCACTGTCATAGAGGAAGGGTCTTATCTTCTAACGAGTGTTTGGGTATCCAATAAATCTAATTGCTGTTATCATGTTATTTAGATATGTTAAAAAATAAGAGTGACTCACTCACTGATTGTGTACTCTTCAAAGAATCTCTCAAATTCCATAAACTTCAGTTTCCTCTTCTCTAAAATAAGGATAATTATTTCCTCCTCTCTAAAATAGAGATAATTGTTATGTTGGGAATGGTTTTGGAGATTTAAATAAACTATATAAGGTGACTAGAACAGTGCCTAGCATAAAATAAGAACTCAACAAAATGAAAGTTGTTACAAAGAAATGTGGACATGATCCTATTTTGTATACTCAGAAATGGAACGTGATGTGCTCTGTGTCTGGTGGTGATGTTATGATAAAGGCTTTGGCAAAGGAGTTTTCTACTGAGGTTATGCTGTTGGGTTCACAGATGACACCTGAAATAAGATCAGGGAATGCTGCGAAGAAGTCCCTCGGTGTTCTTATCTGTCTTAAGATGAAACAAAATGGAACAGTGATTGGCAAAGCAGATTAGTCATGCATAATACTCACTCCTCATGAGGGAAAAAAAAAAAAAAAAACCCAGCCCAGAAATCTGTTGAGAAGAAAACTGTCATAAAATATCAAAGGACATCCAAGGAGAAAGTAATGTGTCCCAAATTTGAGAATTAGGTTGTTTCCCTTTTTAAAAAAGGTTTTGATGCCATGAGCCTATAAAAGCCCATAAAGCAAAGTGAAGTAAATGTATGATGAGTAATATATTTCACAGAAAACTAGTTAAAAATCCTTTGGATTGGTTTTTTTTCTTTTTCATTTAATTTTAGGCTATTAATCAGATACCTTAAAATAAATGTCTTTTCTATTTTTTCTTTTTAAAATCTCTGTTTATGTGAACATATGATGAAAATGTGTGCATACATATATATCTATATCACACATTTGAATATAAAGCAGGGTTTTAGAAATAGAGCAATGGGACTTTAGAACCAAAGGATTTCTGCTAGGGTGAACTGGGGAATATCCAAAATGTAACAATAATATCAAAAGAGCATAAATTAAGCCAGGTGTGGTTGTTCACACCTGTAATCCCAGCACTTTGGGAGGCCAAGGCAGGAGGATTGCTTGAGGTCAGGAGTTCAAGACCAGCCTGGGAAAAAGTGAAACCCCACCTCTACAAAACAAATAGAAAAATTAGCTGGGTGTGGTGGCATGCACCGGTAGTCTCAGCTACTTGGGAGGCTGGGACAGGAGGATCTCTTGAGTCCAGGAGTTTGAGGTTGCAGAGAGCTGTGATGATGCCACTGCACTGTAGCCTGTGCAACAGAATAAGACCCTGTCTCAAAAAAAATAGTATAAATTCAATTGAAATCACTCCCTTGTTTCTCAATCAAAATGCCCCCTTTACACTCTGTTTATAGAAGCCACACTAGGGGTACCCATTTTCTCAAATTTGCATTTTTTTTTAATTTGGCCACTTTGGCTAAGCTAAAAACCTCCCATTAAAATAAACTCTAAAGTGTACATTTTTTTCTAAATAATTAAACTGCTTATAGAGTAATTTGAATATATGTGTGACATTAACTGAGCTCTGGCCTAATTCTAAACTTTCTTCCATTCTATTTCCTGAGTGGTCTTTAGAAAATAGAAATCTGGTTATGTTATTTCACCATTCAAAAAATCTTTCACCATTTCAAATCAATGTCCTTATCTCATATTTCAAGACCCCCAGAAGTCTGTCCCCATACTACTCTCTGGTTCTAACTTATCCTAAATGTGCTGTGGTGCCTATCCCTACGTCTTTGCTCACTCTTCTGAAAATACCCTTTCTACTCATGTCTGCCTTTGAAAACCTTACCCATTCTTTATGCCCCAGCTCAAATGCTACATTCCTCATAGGACATCCTCAGGCCCCATCCCAACCCCACTTTCACCCTAATTTTACTTCCCCATTTGGTGTTTCATAAAGCTTCATATTATTGCTACAGCATTAATTATACTTTTACTTGTCTTTGCAAATGTTTGGGAAGCAGTAGTAAATAATATGTAAGGGGGAAAAATATAGACTTTTTTGGCAGATTCTCACTCTGTTGCCCTGGCTGGAGTGCTGTGGCATCAGCCTAGCTCACAGCAACCTCAAACTCCTGGGCTCAAGCAATCCTTCTGCCTCAGCCTCCTGATAGCTGGGACTACAGGCATGCGCCACCATGCCCGGCTAACTTTTTCTATATAGTTTTAGTTGGCCAATTAATTTCTTTCTATTTTTAATAGAGACGGAGTCTCACTCTTGCTCAGGCTGGTCTTAAACTCCTGACCTCGAGCTATCCACCTGCCTCAGCTTCCCAGAGTGCTAGGATTACAGGCGTGAGCCACTGCACCTGGCCAAGAATATCGACATTTGAGCCAGACTAGACTTGAGTAAAAATGCTGGATCTTGGGCAAGTCAATTAATTTTTCTGAATTTTAGCTTCTTCATCTGTAAACTGAAGAAAATATTACCAAATTTGCATGGATTGGTAGAGGTGAGAATATGCAGGTGAAGGCCCCCAATGAGGGGTAACTATTATTACCAATATTATTCTAATCATCTTCCCGACTAGTTCATTAACTTGTGTATGTATCTTGCAGTGTCTTACCCTCCATAGTGTTTTCTGAATTGAATGGAACCAGTCCAAATTGACGGCATCTGCTGCCTGGATCTTACTGAGCTATTAGTTTTGGAACATCTGTTTTGAATTTCAGAAAGAAAATTCCATTTTTAGGCAACAGCAGCATTTTCCTGTGGCATTTCAATATGTCTCAATCCTGAAATGATTATAACTTCTGCTTGATTTAATCCAAGTCAGCAAAGCCATGGAGAACAGCCCAGCCCATGAGTACATTGACTTTACCTAGGTCTAAGAGAGCTTAACCCTCTGTACAAGGAGCCTGAACAACAAGGAACACTGTGTGAGCTTTTAATGACATTGCCCTTTGCTCAAATGTTTAAATAGCAGCAATAATGGAGCTTGGGAAGCTCTTAATTATCTACAGTCCTGAGAGACAGGGAGAGTACAGGTCATAGAAACCCTGGTTTGCTTTGATGTCTAGAGTACTGATAACGACACAGGGTGCACTCCTGATGTGTTTCTAATGACAATTATTTAGCCCCTTTTCTTGACTCCCAATTTCCTTATAAAACTCCAAAAGGAAGCAGCCACTGTGGTCTTGACCGGTTTCTGTATTATTTCCTGTGGAAAGTAGAATTTTCTAAACCACCACGCCTCGTGAATCCTCTGAGTCTTTCTTTGTCCCCTTCCAATATAAATGTAACTTATAGGGAACATTGAGGGGAAATCATGGGAGGGGGGAGGGCTTAGCTTCCAGAAGAAAAAGTACTGGCTGCTAAAAATATGTTAGAAATACCATAGGAACATAAAATCAACCATGCTAATTATGAAATATAATTGAGGTTATGTTTTAGGTGTCAGAATGAATAGCTCAATTTTTGCTATCAAGATAAAAAATAAAAATCAAGAAAAGGGGGTGGGCAGAGTTGTCAGGATCCCAGAATTAAAAGAAACCTCCTTGCCCTATTGTACAATAATGTTTCAGCACCAAGGACAGAGCCTTGTAGGGCTTAACGCCCACCCATCCTATATAATTAACAATTTTTTAATGTTTTGAAATTTCCACTTAGATGTTTATACAGTCATCTATATATTGTTTTTCTGACTTCTAGTTACATGTCAAACATTGATATGATAAACAAATATTCATCATCTAATTACAGCTCTCAAGGTAAAACTGGAGCAGGAGATGAGCAAGATAGACAAGTAACACTATAGGACAAGAGCTGCTACGGAGTCTTGTATAAGCCATATGGGAGCCAGAGGAGGGAATGCTTAACCTTGACTGGTGAAAAGGAAGACTTTACAAAGGAGTTGACATTTGAGCTGGATATTTAAGATTGAGTGAAGTTTGCAAGACAGAAAAGAATTGCCATGAAAGAGCACACAGCATATTCAGAATGTCTAGAGATGTGATGTGATTTGATATGGCTGAAATGCAGGGTGAATGGGAAAATAAGGAACAGGCTAGGTCAAATCACCAAGGGCTTGTATCCCATGTGAGGGGATTAGACTTTGTTCTAGGAAAACCAAAACCCATCAAATGATTTTGAGCAAGGATGTGATCTGATCAGATTTGTGTTTTAGAAAGATAGTTCAGATAGCAGGAGAAAGAACAGACTAAAAAAAAAACAAAGAAGTGAGCAGGCAGAAGGGAAGATAAAGGTGACAATTTTTCCAGGTGGTCCTGGGAGTGAGGGACTGCTCCTTCATAATCATGGTTAGACGGGGAGAATTTGTTTGGCCCACCTCCCATTAGCTGTTTACCAGCGTTTCACATGTGAATTGTGTCCTTCCAGATTCCTCAAAGAAGATAAAGGATGTCTTGATGGAATTCAATGAGGGTGGGAGCCTCAAACAATATGATCCGCATGAGGTAAGAACATTTCCATTTCAAGCCTTTAAAAAAACAAAAAAAAAAAAACTCTGTTCCAGCCTTCCCATCATGTTTTCCTCTTGGAGATTTAGCTTGCCTTGAATAACTTGCTCTTCAACATGCTTTTTCCTAAATCTCAAGTAATCCATTAGTGTTACCTGGCATTATACATATCCCAAGTCCATTCACCCCTCCCACTGTCCTAGAAGACTACAACTTTTTCTCTGATCATAGTTCTCACTCTTCCTCCCATCCTCATTCTCAATTAACAATTGTGTGTTCTATGTTTTTGTTTTGTTTTGCTTGCTTTTTTTTCTGGTCAAGTGTGTGTTTTCTACTTCACTGAGAAAATAGAAACAATCAGAAAAGATCTTGTACAAGCTTTCTCACTCCATGTGTCCACCTGCCTGCACCTTTTCTTCTGTAACTAAGGATCTCCATGCTCTTGTCTGGTCAAACTCCTCCACTTGAGCACTCTATCCCATCCTCTTTTGGCTTATTGAAAGGCATTGCTTCAGCAACACAGCTCCCTCTGCCCCTTCCTTTCCCTCCCTACTACTCCCTTTTTCTCTCTCTAGGTCCTTCACATAAGCTCTCCTTTCTATATTAGATTTTTCCCATCAACATATAAACATACTGTTATCTCTCCTATATTAAAAAATGTTCTCCTGACTCCAAGTTCTCTTCTTCATACTTTCTTTAAAACCTTTTGAACAGTGTGTAATCCCCACTCCTCCACTAAAACCACTGGTCAAGACAGCCAAGCACCTTCATGTGGCTAAACCCAATAGCCATTATGCTCAACACCATTGGGTGTGGTTGGTCAAATCCTCCTTTATTTTCTTCACTTGGTTTCAGGACACTAAACTATCCTGGTTTTCCTCTTTCCCCTCTACTTTACATTTCCACTTAAAAATCTAATAGACATCTCAAGCTTAGCATGAGCTAAACTGATGTCCTTGATCTTCCCCTGTAAAACCTGCTTTTCCAGCAGTCTTCCCCATTTCAGTAAATGACAATTCCACTCTTCAAGCCGTTCAACCTAAAATTATGGAGTCTTCCTTGACTTTTCCCTTTCTCTCATAACCTACATCCAATTCTTTGCCAAATTCTGTCACTTCTACCTTCAAAATATATCCAAAATCTAGCCACATCTCACCACCTGCACTGTTACCATCCTGGCCTGAGTCATCACCATATTTTGCCCAGATTATTTCAAGAGTCTTCTAACTGAGCTCCTTGCTTCTGCCCTTGCCCTTTAAGTCTATTCCTCACACATATCCTGAGCAATCTGTTAAAACTTATGTTAGAGCTTGTCACTACCCCACTTGACAATCTCCTATGGTTCCCTCCACCCCCTACTCCGAGTAAAAGTCAAGGTCATTATAATCTGTACCTCCCCTACTTTCTGATGTCATCTCTTGCCACTCTCCCCCTCTTCGTTCCTTTCCAGCCATATTAGCCTTCTCGATGTTGTCAAACAAGCCAATGTCACTGTAACTTCAGCACCATTGCACCTGCTGTTGCCTCTTCTTGGAATGCTCCTCCTCAGCATACCCACGTTGTTCATTCTCTCACTGCCTTCAAGTCTGTGTTCAAATCACCTTCTCAGTGATTGTCACCTTCTTTATCCAACCCTGAAGCCCTCTTTCCTATCCCCCTGGTGCTTGCTATCCCCCACTCTCTTTATTTCTTCCTTAGCACTCCTCACCAGCTCTAACACTATATAATTTACTTAATTAATTGTCTGGCTCTCCTACTAGAATATTTTTGTTCACGGTTGTGTCTCCAGTGCCCAGAAGAGTATCTGGCCCATTGCAGGCATTCCATAAATATTTGCTAAATAAATAAATGGATGCAAGACCTCCCCCCACTTTCAAATTCAACTCATCTAACATTGCCTGGGCATCTGGGCACTGTTCTGGGCACTGTAGAAGGTATAAAGATGAAGAAACACAAGACATACTTCCCATTGGCAGAGTCAAGTTCATGACCCTGGAGTCACATGGTCTGACATCACCCAGCAATGGGGCCTTAAATAATATTTCACCTCTTGAACCTCACTTTCCTCATCTGGGAACTGAAGATAACAAAAAAATAAAAACTTGAAGTTTGTGGGAGAACTTTTGCAAAGTGTCTAACACTCTACAGGGTACTTTAAAAATGGTGCCCATTATTACTCCTCTTCTATCCCTTTTCCCCAGAATGTGTTATATTCAACTCCCTTTCCTCTGCTCTGGAGTCCTTTTATGAGGGCTAACTGCAGAAAAGTGACTGACCAGCAGGACTAATTTAAGGAGACACTGGCCACTTACTTAGGCACATTGTCATCATCCATTCCACAAACCTCAGTCAATGCCTTCCCTGCCAGACATTGTAAATGAATCAACAGGGCTTGTGCCCTCAAAGTACACCTGAGAGGGGCTTTTGGATGGAATGCACCAATCACTGAGAGAATGAAGCAGGAGGGAGGTTGCTGGAATAGGGGTAGGTTGAGAATACACCGTGTCAAAGAACATTCCTGAGGAGAAGGCATGCAGAGAAGATGGCAGAGCCAGCAAAGAACTCACTGCCCCACACCTGCCACCTCCAGCTCCAAAAACATGGGAACAAAAACCTGGCGGGGGCTGCTAATCGGCCTGTCTGCCCTGGGGCTGATGAGTGGGAGGGGAACAATTTGGTGAGGGCCACCGCTGGTGTGAAGGCCACGGGAGCTTTCAGAAACAGGGAGCAGCTCAGATGTTAGAAGCACGTGGCCGCCCTCGCCTCTGTCAGGGTTGGCCCTGACTTTTTGTATGCCTGACACTGCTGTGTCTCCGGGGAGCTCTGTCACTCTGATTTTGTTCTCTCACACAGTGCAGTTGACTTCTAGTAGGTGTAATGTCATGGCATAGGCATGGGGAAACAAGGGTTTAATTTCTCTTGAGCTTGATGGCTTACCGCTGCTAAAATGTCTCAACGAGAAACAAGTTAGCTGTGGGAAAGGGCAGATTGCTAGAAAAGCTAGGATGGAAGTAAACGTTTGCTGAGTAGAGTGACTGCATCTGGCCATGGCAAACATGCTCTTGCCTGACACCACCAAGTGATTCTCCAGAGAAAAGAGCAGTGGGAGGCAGCCTGAGCAAAACCCAGCAGAGCAGAAGAGGCAGGTGGCTTGACAGTGTTGTGAGCCTGGACTCAAATACAGCTGAGCACAAAGCCCAGCTCTGGCACATGTTTTATGACCTTGAGCAAGTGATTTATGGCATCAGAATTTGTTTTATCCCAAAAATGACCATAACAGTCCCCCTTCACACTGCCATCTTGAGCATTAAAGTGCCTGAGGTGTAGTATACTCTCCTCCTAGTTCTCCTCCCTTTTGACCTGTTTAAGAATTGACACACTCGCTTTGAGCAGATTTAAGCAGCAGCCATTGCCTAGCTAATTCCTGCATGAAAGCTGCTGGGGGATAACAGGGTTCCTTTGGCCTGGATGACCAGGGTGCCTGTGATGTCACTCTAGGGCTCAGAGAATTGCCGGCGTGCCTCACGGTGGTTTGGGTGTGATGTCCAGGCACTCCCGACCCCGTCCCCCATGACACATTTACTAAGCAGCTACTCTGATCCTGGCCTATGCTCGTAAGGAACTTTTTGTAACCCAGATGTCACTTTGAGAGCGGCACAAAGTCACATTTGTTGAACTTGGGTTTGAAGAGAGTGACAGGGAATACTACACTAGCTGTGGGACCAGTGACAGATATGGTAGCAAGAGCACTGGACGAGGGGTCAGAAGGTCTGACTTCTGGTTTTACTCTGCTGCTGCATGAGGAGACTCAGTTTCTGGGTTTATTCTATGCCATCCTGTTCTCCAGGATAGACACATGCACAGTTGAGTGTGAGTGTCATCATCATTATTTTCTCAGTGGTCATAACAGTGTGTCAATTCTTTTTCTATGTCACTCACTGTTAATGACTACATATTATAATTATTAATATTTCAATATCTTTACATCTTATATATAGCACTGAGTCTCTTGAAGGAATAGACCCATGTCTAATTCATTGGTGTGTTCTCCACTGGTGCCTACACTCTGCCTTGTACTTAGGAGGCTCAGTGTATATATATATATATATATATTTTTTTTTTTTAAACTAAACAGATTCCATAATAATCAATGACAGCCAGGGGCCAACCACCAGGCCATTCCTGAGGTATTCCAATTAGGAACCCATCATCCATTCAAATACCTACCAAGAAATACTGTTGTAGGTGGTATAGGGGATACAAAGATGAAGTAAGACATTCTCACTACCTTCCAGTAACAACAGATCCAGTAGAGAAACTAAGATATTAATACAGAGCAGCAGATACAGTGTTACAAGTTAGGAGCCAAGGGGCAAAGTATAGCAATTCAGGTACGGAAGATCATATCAGGCTTCCTGAAAGAGGTGGCATCTGCGTTGGGCCTTAAAGCATGGCTGGAAATTTTAACAGGTTGAGAAGGAAGCAGTTCATGCTGAGTGAAGTACATGCAGGTTTGGTTATGAAAGAACACAGATTAGTGTGGACAGAGTATACAGGTGCACATAGAGAATAATAGGAGAAAATACCAGAATTGTCTTAGAGCTTGAAGTAGCTACAAATCTAGGTTGGAGGGTAACTAGAGAGGTTGTGAATCCCAAAGGTCTCAGAGAGGATGGTCCATTGGACTGTAGGAACACTACATATTAGGCATTCTATTTGCATTCATTATTCTCATCTAATTTTTCTCATATATTTTATAATGTATAGTATAGGATCACAGTGGTATATTAACTGATCTCAGCTCTCCCATTGCAATTAAAAACTATGGAAAGCTTTGAATGGGGAACCAACCTTATCAGAGTTGTGCTTTGGGAGGATCCTGGCAAAGATAAGTTGGGTAAGAGGACCAACGATGGAGGTGGAGGCAGGGAAGGCTCAGAGAAGTATTGCAGTGGTCCAGGTGAGATGCAAGACACAGAAAGTCTGGAACCAGGAACTTGGGAGAAGGTGGCAGGGGCAATGGACATAGAAAAGGTCTGGATGTGACAGAGGTCACAGAGGAAGGGACAAGAACTGATATCAAATCACCGAGATTCTAGCATGGTGGGAATATAATGGTGTCATTGGTATTAACAGAAATTGTAGAGTCGGGAAGAGGAGCTGGTTTAAGGAAAAGGTTAATAGAAGTTTAGAACTTGAGATCTTCTACTCCAGCACTCACAATTTGCTAAGGAAGAAACCGAGGTTCAAAAGGGGGAAAATGTGGTTGATCTGAAACCAGCCAGGTGGCCTCCCAGGTCTCATACTCATATTGTTTGATAATCTTTTGGCTTTGGTTTTTCATAGCATTATATTAGTTTGTTTGACTAAACTTTTTTGTTATTACATCAGTCTGTTTTCCAGAAATATTTTATTCCCATAACTTTCATATGATGCTAACCAAAGGAGACTTGGGAACTCAAAACTACATTTTAAAACAGTACTTGTCAATTAAAATGGTGCAAAAAGACAATACAAAAAGAGCTTTTTGAAATAAATTAATGAATAACAATGCCATTAGCAAATATTCGGTTACATCAAAGTAGAGAATGAAAAGAACCAAAATAGAACAACTCCATGGAAAATAGAGTTTCAAAAAGAAGAGAGGATGAAATGCTGCAGAGAAGCCACAAATGAAAAAGTCTCAAAAGAGATGATTAAATTTGTCACATTCAAGAGAGCAGATTCAAAGGTAATGGGCTAGAATCCAAACCGAGTGGGATTGAGGAGGGGAGGAAGCTAATCTGGTTTGTTAGGAGAAATTTGGGGAGAAGATGGATGGGCTCACACCTCCAGCAGGCAGCAGTTTCTCTGGGGTAGTGGCCGTGGAGCCTGCTTGCAGGTGGAAGAGGGGCAAACGCTAGCAGATGTGCTCAGAGCCAGTGAGGGTGGAATCGAGAGTCATGGGAGGTGGGTTGCATTTGAAAAGGAGAAGGAAAATATTTTATTCTTGAGTACCAAGAAAATAGAGAAGGATTTGTGAGGAAGGGACATTCTGAGGTGACAATGCTGTGCAGGCAGAGAGGGACAGGAAGAGTGTGAAACAGACAGAGAGACTCAGGGACAGAAAGGGACAGAGAGAGACGGATACCTGTCACAGGAAATGTGAGTCCGCTATTTTCGTAGAGTTTCTGTAATCGGGTAATGGCCTCTGTCCAACTGAATCAGGCTTCTTCCACGCTACAAAGGGTGTGTATAGTACAGCCCAGCTTGGGGCTAAACAGAAATTGCTTTGTGAATTCCCAGTGGGGTGGGGAGGGCACCACTTGCTTTTAGGGCCAAGACTTTGAACCCAAACTTGATTATACACATGCAAGCCAGCTTTTGGTTCTGGGAAGGCTCCCAGATCTCTCAGAACAGACAAAAGGTTAAATGCTACCAACATTTTGATGGGAGCACCAAGCAGGCCCCCACCACCACCAAAAGAGATTTTATTCTCACAGCTATTATTATTCACAAAAGCCTGCACAGCAGATCTCGGAGTAGTGCTTCCTCAAATGATTTCCAGGAGCATCTGCCGATTTGATGAAGAATCTGATGCCATCAACGCACACGCCAGTGATGACTCACTGAGAACGGTTGTTGTTGAGTGTTTGCTGAGTGCAGCAGCCCTTCCTGGCAGGGCTGCTCCCAGCCTGGGACCAGAAGCCAGGCGGTACTGGGAGAGACACAGCAGGAAGAGGGTCTAGTTTTTGGCATGTCTCTTGGTTCCACCTTCTGTCCTTGGCTTCCTGCTCTTCTCCTGGTGCGTAAAACCTTCACAAGGACATGCTTGGGGGAGCAGCTGAGCCAGACACAGGCACTCCCCTGTTATCTTGGGGTTTATCCAGGGAAATCAGGCTTATGAAAGTAATGAAGGATGGAGCCTGTTCTTTTCTCTTCAAGGCCTTTCCTATTTTCTGACACCTTAGTACTCAGGAATCACATCTCTCATGGCACAAAGGAAAACCAAGATACCACAGAAGAACCATTTCTTTCCACCATGTTTTCGACCACATCCTTCTTCATCTTTACCAGGATTCCAGGGTGTTGACCTCGTCCCTGCTCACTGGAGCCATGTCACTCACATGGACCTGGACCACGGCAGCGCCCTCCACTGCCAGCACTCACTCTCCCTCGCCTCCCTTGTCATCTAAACACATACCGTATTTTTTAGAAAAGCCTGCCCTCGTCCTGTGCCTCACCAAGCTCCAACATGCACCCACCAGCGTTTTCCCTTCTTTACCTCCCATCCCTGCCCCTGTCTGTCATTCTGTTGCCTTCTTGGCCTTTTTTACTTCTGCCCCTATCATCTCCTCTGCTTCCTTCTGCTTCCCTTCCCAATTCTTTCATCTGCCATCTCCCCAAATCCTTTTTCTTCTCTCCCTCCTCTCTGGCCCTTCACTTCTCTCCACTGACTTTTCTCTTTTTACACCTTCTCAGCCGATTAGCTATGATGTCTTCAAGCTATTCATGAAGGCGTACCTGGAGGTGGACCTTCCTCAGCCACTGAGCACTCACCTCTTCCTGGCCTTCAGCCAGAAGCCAAGACGGGAGACCCCTGACTGCCCCAAGGAGGGGGCCAGCAGCAGCGAGGCCAGTGGCCCAGGTACACAGACCAGCTTTCCCCAGATGGGAGGACGTTGTGCAGCTCCACTGCCACAAGCACAGGCTGTGTTCCTAGAGAGTCCCGTGAGCATAGCAACTTCCCTATGGAGTGAGAATGGGGACCAAGGGACCAGGACTCCTTCCTTCATAGGGCCTTATGGGAAGCTCTGTCTGATGAATCTCTTGGTAAGAGGAATAAAAAGGGAGCATAATACCTGCCACTCAGGATCGGAGAGTAGGATGGGGGAGGAAGGGACACAACTAATGTATGGGAGGGGAAGAGAACAAAGGCTGCTGGTCCATGGAGGGAGCACATTCAGCTTGTTTGTCCAGGCTGGGACTAGCCTGGGAGTGTGAGGCAGGGGAAGGCATGGGCACCATCTTCCCGGAGCTTGGGCTATAATGGGGGAGATACAGTCAACCCCAATAAGCAAGCATGAACCAGCTGACAGTGACCTACAGACAGTCACCTAAGTGAACCAGCTCACAGTAGCGGGTTCCCTACCTGCCCCTCCAAGAAGCTGGGGGGTCATGGGCTGGTCATTAAATCTTCTTTTTGTCCCTCAGATCCTAACATACAGAATGCAGATAACGCTGCCAAAGCAGACGAGGCCTGCGCCCCTGACACTGGTGAGTCTTTGGAATATAGGATTTGGGGGAGAAGTGGGGCTACCACACCCCCAGGGAGGAGTGGAAATACCTAACCAGCAGATTTTCTCCATATAAGTGTGCACCCCTGTGCGGATCTTGTCCTGCTGTGACTTTCAGAGCCTCCATCTCTGGGGCTGCTGTCGCTCGAATGTCCTGGGGCTCCGAGGCTGGGTTTATCTTCAGGTGCCCTGGAACAGGGCAGGACAGGACTGGAGACAGCTTGCTAGATGTTTACCTCTGGCAGGTCTGCCAGCCCAGAAAAGGGACAGCCTTCTCAGGAGAAAGGGAGTGTGTGTGAGTGTATGTGTGTGTGTGTGTGTGTGTGAGTGTGTGTGACAGAGAGAGACAGAGAGAGAGAGAGAGACAGAGAGAGAGAGAGAGAGAATGTGAAGTGGCAGTCCTAGGGCTGAGGTACAAATGAGACCCCACCAGTGGAAGGCTGGAGAGGTACCGGGCAAGATGGTAAGAACGTGCTCTGGTTGACTTCCAACAGCATATAAATACACTATTTTGTAAAATTTAGAGAGTTGCTAATAAGTTAGCAAGGGGAAGCCAGCTAAAATCGTCTTGAAGAACTGTTTGTCAGCCACCTGTTTATTACATATCTCATTTAACCTTCACAATCACACTTGACACGTGAGGACTGAGGCTGTGTGAGACTATATACCACTGGTGTGACCTGTAGGGCCGGGCATTCAATCCAGATTTGTCCAACCTCGAACCTCCTGCTTTCTCTCCTACTCCGAGAGGGGAAGTGGTGTCTCTCTCGAGAGGCCTGGGGGTTTGGTTGGTCCCGGGTGGAAGCACCAGGTTGCACTCCCAGTGGGGCTGCTGCAGTGGTGCCTACTGTCCATAGGCCACTCCTGGGCCGGGACAGGTGTGGGACCCTCCCTGGCACATTTTTCAATGGGAAGCCATTCCTCCATGCTGTCGACAGGCCCAGGCCCAAGGCCAGATGCTCCTAAGAAGACAGGAAGGAGCAAAGGTCACCGTACTTGATTGGACATTGCTCTCATGTCCCATAAAAATTTTCCGGGCACTAGCAACCCACGCTGGGTAAGGAACTAGAGCATGTTCTTTAAGCATCTAGACTTCAGAGCCAGATTGCCCAGGTTTGGTTCCCAGCCTCGACACTACCTAGCTCTATAACTGTGGCATGTTTTAACAATGTCTCTGTGCCTCAGTGTCCCCATCTGTAAAATGAGATGATAAGTGTTGTTTTGAAGGTTAAGTGAGTTAGGTATATAAATGCTTAGAACAGTGCCTGGCACACAGTGAGTGTCCAATAAACATTGATGATTGTTATTCAGGCGACCCTCCAGAAGAACACTCTATTCTTAACTCATCGTGGTCTGCCATAACCTGCATCAGTCTGCACCCTCAGTCTCAAGTGTGTCAACTGGGCATCCTATTCTCATGGAAGGTCTCTCACAGATTCTCCTTCTCCCAGGTTGCTCTTAAGATTTTAAATACAAAGACTCAGAGAGTCAGCCCTGTTTTACCTTGCATTATCATTTGATTGAAAAGATTTACAGATACACAAAGGTGAATTCCAGCTGTTGGGATGTACTCAGGGGATAAAGAATTCAGTTTTATTATATTTTTCAAATATATATAAAACATGATAGACAATAGATACTACAACTGAAATGGAAAGGGAACTAATTGTAACAGCGACCTAGGATGACAGACTTTCTTCAAGTGGACTCTAGATGTAGTTCTAATCTTTTCTCCAGTCAAGGGAAACTAGAGGGGTTATGGAAGGACTGGTGAGATGAAAAATCCATTACAGATGGAAAGCAGAGCATGGTCAGTAAAGGAGAATTATCTCTGGATCATAAACTCAGCAAATTCCAGGTTGCTCATGGAGCTCCAGAAAGCAAGGATTAAGAGAAAAGCATCCGTGCCTGCCTGATGCCTTCAGGGACAGCAGCAGGGCAAGACTCTACAGAAGCGTCACGTCACCCACTCCCCACCCAGCACCCCACCCAGCCATGCTAAATCCATGGCCCTTGGTGAAATGGATTTAAGGCATAAGTCTCACGTCTTATATGGAATAAAGGAAGCATATTCTAACATAAACCATTCTTATGGTAGGAAGGAAAGGGTGAAACTAGGAGCTTTGAGATTTTTAATTCCCAGCAAGAAAATCCATGGTGAAAAGCATCCTGCCCCAAATTCTTTACCCGGAGATTTTCTTAGTCCAAGTATCTGGAACTTCAAGAGAAACCTGGAAAAAGTTACATTTCATTCCTTGAGGTTCCAAATTGTCTGGGCAGGGTTTGTTTTAGTGGCTGAAATTGTTGAGGTACCAAGGAAGAACTTACTGGCAATAAGTCATTATGTGATATTTGAGAAAAGATGATCGATGACAATAATGGAAGTTAGCTGGCATATTTGACCACCATGCATGCTTATTTGCAAGATCTGTATCCTTCTTGATCTAAAACAGAAACTTCCAGAGAGTCCCTCCCAGAGAAGTGATTTGTGATGCACCATTTCCCTTTTGTATGTGAAAAAATCACCCTTTGTGGTCAAATCATGAAAGGGCAATTATCTGATTCTTGGCCCATGGAAGTATACAGCATTTTTTTCATATTCTTTTGAGACTTGAGATGTAAAGGAGAAAATCCTTTTCCTGCTAGGTACCCTTCCAAGGATGTCTTAATTAGATGTCCCTGTTCACCAGAAATAAGAATGTAGGGCCAGGTGGTCAACACAGAGAGGAGCCTCTGACCGAAAGGAAGAGCCAAGTCCCGGAATCACCTTCAATCCGGCCATCTGTTGGAAATCCCAACCTTTCCTATTGCCCAAGCAGAAGCCAGAGGAAGTAACTAGAATCTTATTTGATATGGCCTGTCTAGTTCTATCAGATCAGTCTCCAAGCTCAGATCTAGCACAACCCACTGCAAATCATTCATTCCCAGAGCCAGGTGGGTATATTCTTGTGTCCATAAGGACAGTAGAGAGGGGATTTCACAGAGTCCAGATTTCGGCTCAGAGCCAGAGCTGTCTGTCATTGTTGGGATGTCAGCTCGGGAAAGGCTGAATCCAGCCTTCCCTTCATGAAGGTCCAGGACCACTTGAATGAACTTGGAGAACTTCAGTTTCCTGGTTTTTAGTTCATTTCTCAGGCTGTTGAGATGTTTCAGCAACCCAGAATATTGGAGTGTCAAGGAAAGTCCCTCAATGTTTTGTTTTAGTTGTTCCCAATTATAAAAGCAATACACTGACATTGTAGAAAATTTAAAGGGTACAAAAAAAAAGAAAGAAACAACAGAGATTAACAACAAAGATCAGAAACAAACATCAGTGGTTGTCAGGGGTTGAGGGAAGGGAGGGATAAATGGGCAAAGCACACAGGAATTTTAGGGCAGTGAAACTACTCTGCATGATATTATAGCGGTGGATACATGTCATTTGCCCAAACCCATTGAATGTACAACACCAAGAGCAACCCCTAATATAAACTGTAGACTTTGGGTGACAATGATGTGTCAATGCAGGCTCATCAGTTTTAACAAATGTACCATTTTGGCAGAGGATGTTGATGCATGGTAGGCTATGTGTATGTAGGGGCAGCAGAGTAAGTAAAAAGTCTCTATACCTTCCTCTAGTTTTGCTGTGAACCGAAAACTGCTCTAAAAAATTGTCTTTAGAAAAAAGAAAAGAAACAATAAAATCACCCATAATCCCATCAATGCAATTACTTGTGTGCATTGTGTTTGTATATAATTTTCTTGTAAGTTTTTTCTATAAATTTTTATAGAACTGAGGTAAGACTGTACTATATATTATATACTGTACTATATATTACATATTAAAATATATTTTAAATATATATTAATAATTTTGGATCTAGCTTTGTTTTTCACTTAACATTATATTCATGAACATTTCTGTCATTCAAGACATTGAGTAAACGTCAGTTTTAATGCAATCCCCTCTTTTATTAGGAGAGAAAACTGAAGCTGGGTGTGGGGTAGTATGCCTGTTTGTGCAAGATCACACACCATTTCACACAAACCCAGTGCTAGAATCCCAGTCTCGTCTTCTGCTGCTGGCCTGGTGCTCCTTCCACTATGCCATGCTGCCCAGTTGGAAGGCAACAAGTAATACAGATACTAAGAGAAAAAGTGGAATGAGCCAGGTCTGCCCAGGGTCCCTATCATGAAAGTCTATGGCATGACACCAGGACAGAGCCTCTGTGACTTGGTGGAGGCTGTTAACCTTCTTTACTGGTGGCACCTGGGGAACATACTCAAGTGGCTGTAGGTCAGGGAGGGCTATTTCATGCAAGGCAGCAGGAGGAAGAAGGATACTGATGGGACAGAGTCAGTGCACTCAGTCCTCCTAGGCCCCAGCATCCCCATGACAGGTGTGGACAGTAGACCTCAATGAAAACTAGAGCCATGGCTCAAGATCCACCCACAGCTCTAGTAATTCAAGGATCTTCAGAAAGAGCTATAATGATGTTTTTAAAACAACTTTGTTGAGGTGTAATTGGCATAAAATAAATTGCACATATATAAAGCATTTAATTATTAAGTTCTAACATATATACACACCTGTAAAACCAGCACCACAATCAATACAATGAACATATCCATCATCTCCAAAAGTTTTCTGTGTAATCCCTCCTTCCTGCCCTGTCTACCCACCCACTCCTCATCCCCATACAACCACTCATCTGTTTTCTGTCACTATATATGAGATTGCATTGTCTAGATTTTATATAAATGGAATCATAGAGTATGCACTCTTTTGGGTCTGGCTTTTTTTCACTCAGCATAATAATTTTGAGAATTATTTATGTTATGTATATAAATAAATGTATTAGTTCACATATTTTAGCTGCCAATTAGTGTTGTAATATATAGATATTCCACAGTTTGTTTATCTATTCACCTACTGAGGGACATTTGGGTTGTTTCCAGTTTGGAGTTATTATAAATAAAACTGTTATGAATATTCTTGTGTTTTAATGATGCTGAGTATCTTTTCATGGACTTAACTGTTTATTTATTTATGTCTTAGTTAATTTATTTTTAATATTATGAGGTTCAATTTGCTAGAATTTTTTTAAGAACTTTTGCCTCTGTGTTCATGAAGGATATTGATATCCATGTTTGTGTCTTGTCATGTCCTTGTTGAGTTTGGGCTTTTTAAAGTAATGCTAGCCTCACACAATGGGTTGGGTAGGATTTCCTCCTCTTAAGTCCTCTGAAAGAATTTATGTAGAATTCCTATTATCTCCTCCTTAAATGTTGGATACCGGATATTTTTGTATACCTACAAATATTCTTGAGCTTTGTTTTGGAATACAATTAGGTTATTTGGAAATAGTCTGTTTGGGGTCTATCTTTTAAGATTCATTGGGCAGGATCAGAAAGGCAATTACTCTAGGGCTAATTTTGCCTCACTACTGAGGCAAACCCTTCTGAGTGCTCTGCCGATGATTCATGAATTATGGGTGTTCAACTCTGATTGGTGGGAATAGGCATTATTCCTGGTTCTCTTTGCATTCCAGGGATGCAAATGCTGGTTAACCAGCTCTCTAATGCTGGTTCTCTCCCCAGCCTAGGCTTCCTCGAATGAGTATGCTAATCACTGATCTGCTGAAAAATTGAAGGGAACTCTGCTGATCATTCAAAGGGGACCTTCTATATCTCTCCAGAGTGTTCTCTCCCTGTAGCTCCCTCCCTTCCAGGGATCTGCTCTGTGAACTCTGGTCACCTTGGGCTCCCCGGACTCTCAGCTCCCCCTCACCTGGGAGAGACTGCCAGGATCTGCCTGGGATCCCCCTCCCTTGCGTTGCAGACCGGAAACTCTTCCCGAACAGTATGATGTAGCAATTGTAGGCGTCATCCATCATCTCAGGATCACTATTTGGTGCTGCCTGATATTCAGTGTCCTAGGAAATGTTGTTTCATATCTTTTGTCCAGTTTTTTAGTTGTTTCAAGTGGTAGAATAAATCTGGTCCTTGTTACTTCATTTTAGTTGAAGTGGAAGTCGTTGATAGTGTTTTGATGGATGTATAATCTGAGGATATAGCAATAACTTAGGGTATAATGAACTATGCAGTACAAAGGACTTCTCTCATTTGTCTTCTACATTATTAAGTTATGCTTTTCCATAACTCTTCTTCCAGTGATGGTTTTAATACCTCTGCTGCATATGTAATTTTATTATAATCCTCTACTATCTCACTATCCCTATTTTTATCTCATCTTATTATATTTTTATCTCTACTTGTTCAACCCTAAAGTTTTCTGCTCTTGTTTAGTAGAGGTTATACTGCAACCTACCAAGGGTCTTGTTGAATAGGAAATTATTTTCAAAAATCTGGTCCTCTGAGACTTCTGGATGAAGCTTCTTTTCCTTGTTTTGCAGCTCTGTTTTATAGGCTCGATCTTGGTCACTTCATGGGGACCTTTGTAACATACAGAGTGCATCAGCGACCTGTGGTCTCTCCTACTGTCCATCTAGACAATGGTTAACTCCCTTCTAAGACCCATAGCCTCACACCCAGGACCTGGCAGGCTTTCATCAGGGTTGAAATGGAACCTTCGCTCCCATCATGTGGCTCTTCGGTTCTCTGAACAGAGAGTGCATGGGTAGCTTTGCCTCCCCCAGCAGGCAGTACTGTCAGGGCTGTCTCCACCGCTGCCTATGCCTCCTGCACTTTATTGCTTAGTAGAATTACAACACCTAAGTTGGATTCTCCACTTCCCATCTTCCTTTTATTCCCTGGTTCATTGTTTTCTATGACTTGTACACTCCTGGTGGATGTTGAGAAATCATCTCTGATGAGCATGGAGATGGGGAGCTGAGGGAAGAGAGATAGCACTCATAGTGTCTCAAAAAATAGAACTTACACAGTAAGACGGAGATGCTCAGCCTTCTTGCTAGTAATAGATCTTATATTTCTGAATCAGAGGACAAAGTGTGAAGAGACAAAGTTTTCCTACCTAAGAGAGGAAAAAGTTACTGTACTCCTCTGGTACATTAAGTCACTTTCTACATTTTCTTAATCCAATTGATTAGGCTTGCAATTCAAAGTTCTTCCTGTTTCTAGAAATTGTTTAATTATCAATGCCTGGTTTTTCTTTTGAATATTCATCTCTCTATATTTATCTTTACATGTATTTGAGAAGAATATTGTGAGAGGTTATATTAGTAAATGACTATTGTTCATTTAACCATTTTGAAATCCCACTCAAAATTACTTCTACGAGTTGATTGTGTTCCCCCAAAAGTAGGCTAAATGACATTTACCTGTAGACTGACTATTGCTACTAGTACTAAAAATCACTATCATCTTCTCTGAATATTCAGAATATAGATGAATGTCTTAAAAAGAAATAGACTCTTAAAAGAGTCAGAATGCGGTCCATTCTATTCCTCCATGGGGTCCTCTAGAGAATATGAACCCCATAAACTGGATTTCTGGAGCCACTCATTTGATCATATCTATGTAACCAAAGCTTTTGAAAACATACGAAATTGTTGCCTCCACTATAAAGAGGATGAGGCAACAAAGGGGGTTTAATACCTTGCTAAACAAGAAGTGTCCCTTGATGCTTTCCTTTTTCCTGTCACAGAATCAAAGATGGCCGAGAAGCAAGAACCGGCTGAAGATGAGGTGGCTGCAACCCTCCTGGGAGCCCCTGCTGCTCAGTCTTCAAGCTCAGAATCCCCCATAGTGTACCTGAAGGATGTCGTGTGCTACCTGTCCCTGCTGGAGACCGGGAGACCTCAGGATAAGCTGGAGTGTAAGTGCTCACCCTTGCAAGAGCTTCAGCTTTTTCCTAGGGAAGATCTAGGGTCCTGTCCATTATTCCCAAACACACTGGAGAATGATCTGGGATCCAGGTTATGGGTCTTGTTTCTTTGGGGGAGGTTTCCTTGTCCTGTCACCAGCAGTAATATGAACATCTTTTCCTAGAATCTACCCTAGGACCAGTATCACATAAAGTGGGAAGGGCATCTAAGACCTAGGCATTGAGAACTAGAATTTGAAAAGGGAAAGGGGTCTTATCTAGAGGTCAAGTTCTCACCCAGGGATCAAGACTTCTTTGCTTTGCCAGCAGAGCTTCCGGAAAGCATCCAATCAGAAAGCTGCTGCCTCCTCTTAATGGATTTTTCAAGGAAAGAATCCAACGTCTGTCCTTCTTCCCCTGTTCTGTGCCCAAGCAATGTTTTAACTATGAGGAATTCTTATTTTCTTGAGATTTAATCAACCTCTATCTTGTTAAGGCTTTTTCCATTTCTCCTCCCAACACCCACTCCAAGCTCTGTGGACTCTAGAGAAAGAAGGCTAGTTAATTAATGGAGTTGAACTTGGTTTCATGGTGCTACTAAAGTTGGTTTCAAAAACATATCTTCCAGAGGACAGTAAAAGCCAGTAGCAGAAAGGAAAGTTCACAGAGCCTGAAACAGCCTGCAGTCTTGTAGATGGCTCAGTCCAGGGATGATTTCACTGACCTCTGTGAGCCTACAGGCATACTATTTAAATAGAAGGTGATAGAACCTTGTTTAAAATTTTGTATTGTTTTGCTTCTCTTGGGAACTTAAGTAAAGAAAAACATACACATTATAGCAAAAAGTCAAAATTCCAGTTAATAATAAGACTAGTCAACAACAAAACTTAAACATTAGCAAGGCAAGTCTGCCAAAGGTTAACTCTTGCCAAAAACAAAATGAAACAGTTTGCTCATTAGCCGAGCTTAAAATCTCCCCCATAGGTTTGAGGTGTTAACAATTGCAAGTCTTAAGTACTAATTTGGTAGCAAATGTAGCAGATTTCTGTTTTCTTCTGGCTAATGTTAAAAGTGAAATGTCAAATTATTTTCAACATTTAGCTGGATTTTGAGTTTTAGACATTATATTTGTTCATAACTACCAAAGACAATGTGGCAGATTCTTTATATTAGTGACTCTCAGACTGAGTTTGTGATAACAATGAAAAAATACTTTAAAACTTTTTATTATATTCAAAGATAGATAAAAGTAGAGGGTACAATGAACTTCCATGGCCCCATCACCCAGCTTCAACAATTATCAACTCATGGTCAGTCTTGTGGCGTTTATAACTCCCACCCATTCCCTCTGCCTCAGGATATTTTGAAGGAAATTTCGGGCATCATATAATTTTATGTATAAATATTTCAGTGCATATCTCTAAAATCACAAACTCTTTTTTTTTAATATAACCTCAGTACAATTATTACAGCTAAAGAAAATTATTCCTTAATACTATCAAATATTCAGTCAATATTCACATTTTCCCAATTATCTTATATATTTTTTATTTGTTTGAATTAGGAACCTAGTGAAGTACATAGATTGCCATTGGTTATTATGTTTCTTTGCTCCCTTTCAATCTTTTGCTAATTCTTTCCCTGTAATTTTTTGTTGCAGAAACTTGGTCATTTGTCCTATAGATTTTTCATTTTGGTTTGCTTTGTCTTTTACTAAACCAAATCAATTTAAATCTTTTCCCTTAATTTTAATGATTGAAAGCAAGTTAAGCTTTTCTTTTTCAAAACCCAGCATTTTGTGTGTGTGTTTTGTTGGCTTTGTTGTTGTTTTTAAGTAATAACCTGAAAGTCCACCTATTGCCAATGCAATAATAACAATAATAACTTTCATTATTAAAAACCTTATATTTGCTAAGCACTTTAATGCACTGTCTCATTTTAACCTCCCAATAACCCAAAAAGGGTAATAATATGTTTATTCTCATTTTATGCATCAGAAAACACAGGAAGGTTTAAAGACTTGCCCAAGGCCATAGTTTTAAAAACTAGAATTCTGTCTTACTCAGGCCTTTCTAGTTCTATTGTTCATACCCAGTAGGACCCGTTAGAGAGCTGACTAGGCCCCAGGGCCCTGGAACAATGCTAGTAGGAAAGGCTGTTCTTCTTTATGTCATTCACCCATCTGTTTGGTGAGTCAGCAGCACATGCTGTTTGCCTCTGACATTCGGAGGAGTTACAAAAAATCGGAGGCCCATGGACCCTACTTAGACTCCAACCAGGGACCCACCACTGAAAGAACACCAGGTGCAGAGATAGTAAAACTTCTAGAAGGAACTGATGACACAGGGGGCAGCTTAGCAGGAATAATGTGACAAGGTGGGCACGTGCTGACAGGCCTGTGGTGTGTGTCAGGGAAGGACCAGTTGGAGGAAGGTCCCCAGAGAAAGCAGACAGGATGATGGGTTTTAAGGAACAGGAGGAAAATGAAGAAATGTTTCTCTCTGCTACTCACCCTGCTTACTTCTGAGACCACAGACAGACCTCTGCCTTTGGGATGAATGAAATACAGGTTTTCAGGTCCCATAAATGAACATTTGTCCCTTGTCCAAATTTCTTTCCCAGATCTTCCTTATCCCACATCACCTCCCTGCAGGTAGAACATGATTGAAGATGTTTCTGACTAGCATATTGACACTTTAGGGGGAAAAATAATAGCTTCTGTAGCAGTAACTACCTCACAGCATTATTAAAGATTGAGTGATGATGATCGTGCATAAGACAATGCCTTGTACCTATTAAATGCTATATATAAATGTTTATTAATAAAAGAAAATAAAAATAAATAACATCTGTTGAGTGCTTTCTACATTCCGAGCACTGTGAATTTGGCATATGAGTTACATATTAATCCTCATACTAACCATAGGAGAAATAAACTATTACTATTATAATCTCCATTTTACAGGTAGGGAAACTGAGCCCAAAGAAGTTAAATGACTTGTTGAACCCCGCAGGCATGATAGGGCAGGGCCAGGCTTTAAATCTGCCTAACTCTACACTCTTTCTGTACACAAAAGAAGCAAAGGCCCACCTATAATTCTGGTACCTCCGCCCCACCGCCAGCTGGGCATTTGCTTTGAGTTGTGTTCTAGTGAAGCTCAGAGGTATGCATGCTCTCTGGGGAATCACACTTGTGGCCTGGCTCTCATCAACCACAGAATCCCTGTTTAAGCAGGTCCGGAAGCCAGGTGGCTTGATTCTCCTCCCTTGTCCCACCCTCTCTGTAAGGAAGTCCAACTCTGTGCTTGGAGGGAGGGTGAGCTGGCTACACAGCCTTCACCCCAGTGACGGCCAGGACTGATCTAAAAACTCAGCAGCACCAAAACCCTAGGCACCCCTGCTTTTCTGAAAGGACATTTCAAGCCTTACCTCTGTTTCTTGCAGTCATGTTCCGTCTCTATGATTCAGATGAGAACGGTCTCCTGGACCAAGCGGTAAGTTCTCACTCTATCTCTCCTAGGTCTGAGAAAGCCTGGGGGAGTGGGGAGAAGAGGGAGGAAGAATATGAAAATTTTCAGTTCCATCTTTGTAGGAAGAGCAACATTTAGTACTGGCTGCAGAAATCTGAGTAGAACCCTCCATCTTCTATTTTTAAAGAATCAGACTTGCAGAGGGTGAGCGCCAACTAACCTTTTCATTCCAGAAGTCTAGGATCATAAAGTCTCGAAATGGGGAGGTGCTTTAGTATTTCCTCTGGTTTAACTTCCCTACTGGGGTGCACAAACTCCCTCTGCAGTTTTCTACTGGAGTCCTGGGGCCAAGAGGAGAGGTGTGGAGGAGGCAACAAGACCATGGGAAGGGCAAGGGAAGGAGGGTTGCTGGTCACTGCTGGTGTGCTCTGATATCACCTGTGGCTGCTTATACTCCAAGGCATGAGCCCAGGAGTTTGGTTCTGTCTGCTCTGAGCACATGATCTAATCCCACTGCACCTGGGGAAACCTGAGACTCACCCCCACCCCTTCAGGAATAGTCAGGGACCATGGAGTGAGAGGAAGAATGGAAAAGGAAGAAGGCAAACACAGTCAGACAGGCCTGTGGTCATGACTGGCAATGTCACAGACAGGGCTCATTAACGGGACAGGCCTGAGGTTGAGATGCATGGGGCTGAGTCAGACCAGAGGAGAGAGGAAAGGGAACAAGCCCGATAGACCAACTGACTCATCCCCATTCCCTCTAAACTCCAGGGTGCCTGTACAGGGTTCCCCCAGCCGCATCGCAATGCTGGGGGTTGGACCATTTGAAAGAACCACCAGAGAATCACAGACCCTCAAGCGTTTGGTCACCACATATTTACTGACTGTCTACATTAGGTCACGTGCTCTGTAAGCACTGGGGGATGGAGGACATGAGCATAGCCAACTGACGAAAGTCCACGCCCTCCTGAAGCCTTCCCTCCAGCCCAAGCATAGGCACTAAACAGCATAGTAAAATATGTGTTCGGTAGAAATGGGTACTAAGAAGAAAAATAAAGGAGGCAAGGAATTGTTGGAAGGAGTTGCAGCTTTAGCTAGGGCAGCCAAGGAAGGCCCCCCTGAGGAGGCCAGGGAGTAAGTCGTGGGGTAGCTAGCTGAGGAGCCTTCCGGGAGAGGGAGCAGCGAGTGCACAGGTCATGAGGATTGCTAGGGTATTACTGGGGGCCGGTGTGACTGGAGCAGAATGAGCAATAGATGAGATCAGGGTGAGGAAGTAATAGGAGATGAGATCAGAGAAATTATGGGATGGGGAAGAAATTATGGGGTGGGACGTTTAGAAAGCATGTTAAGCCTTATAGGTGATTAAAAAGGTTTATCTTTTACTCCAGAGAAATGGAGAACCAACCATTGAACATTTTGAGCAAAGAAGAAGCATGACTGACTCATGTTTTAACAGAATCACTCTAGCTGCTGGGCGGGTATAGACTGCAGGGATGCAAGCCAGGACCAGTTAGGAAGCTACTGAAATAATCAAGGCATGGAATGGGGATAACCTTGTACATGGTAGAATTGGTGCCAGTGGTAAGAAGTGGTTAAATTCCAGATACAGTTTAAAGGTAGTATTGGTGGACCGAAGCAGATCTCAAAATAGTTATCTGATTCAACTTCCCACCCAGGATCTCGGCAGACGGACTCCCAGGCTCTTTTTGAACACTCCCAGTAGTGGGAAGGTCACCTGAGACCTTCCCACTAGGTGGAGACAGTGGGGACAATGGAGACAGCCACGCCACTGTTAGAGAGGCTTCCTTCCTGCACACAAGGCACCTCTCTGTCTGCCAGGGAAGGGTTTCAACAGAAAGCCTGCTTCTGCCCTCCCCTCCCTCTCCCCCAACCCAGCAGGGAATCCAAAATAAGCCAACCCTCAGCTCCTCCCTTCCCTACATCCCTGGGCTTCCTTCTGCTCTCTTACCTGGCCAGAACAAGTGGTATACTGATTCTACACAATAGGCCTTCAAGTATTTGGAGATGCTATCACATCTGTCCTAAAATCTCCAAGCTAAAATTTCCCAATTCCAGCACTGATTATCATAAGGCAGGCTTAAATATCCACTCTGGACAAGCTCGGGTTTGTCGATGTCTGTCCACTGCTTCTATTTACACAGCCTGAAACTGATTCTCAGTTCCTGAATCACATTTTTTTATTGAATCTTGGTCCTAACTAGATTCACAAGCTCTTTTCCGCTGGAACTACTGCAAAGCCACATCCCCACCTTTCTGGCCACTCTGTTGTCCTCCTCTACTACCCTGTCCTGTATTTTTGCAATGGATTATTTTTTTAGTTTAAATGAAATGTAATTTTTAAAAATCCCTATTGGGTTTTAACATGCTTGTTTTGACCCAGAATTCTACCTGGTGAGGGTAACACTTTTGAATCTTGCTACAGTCCACCAATACGTCTGCCCAAAGCAGTCTTACTGCGAACATCTCAGAACGTGCCCAAGTGATGTTCACTTTGACACCAAACGCCTCCTCAGTCCCATATGTTTCAATGTGGTTCTCAGTACACTGACTCATCAGCATCCAACAATTCTGTGAGGTTTCAGATGCAGCCTGGCCTTGGTACTAAAAGGCAAATACATCCCTCATGAATTTCCTGTTATGTCATCCTGGTCTCAGGGCTAGACCATAATGCAAAGGAAACAAGAGATGCCAGAAGGAATTTAAATCATAGTGCATGAGCTAGGACCAATATGGTAACCTTCCATCCAAGGGAAACTGATGCCTAAGGGGGTACATGGATCCCAAGTTGCTAAAGCCGTGGAGGTGAGGGGTGATAGGTAGGGGGAGAAGAGACTGCCTTGGTCTGTAAGGGTTTGTGGGAGCTACGATCACAGAAAAGGATAAAAGTGCTTTCTATGCTTTCCAAGTTAAAGCAAAGAATAGGGGAAGGAGAGAGTCTAGGTGGGTCCAGGAAGTCAGTGTTCAGCGAGCTGTGTGTGTACCTCTGACTTACCCATGCTTTGTGCTTCTTGTGGGTTTCCATTGTCCACTGAGCTTTGTGGTCAAAGCAGAAACAGACCGTGAGCTCCCCCTGAAATGCCATTGCATTGTGTGAGCTTCCTTTCACGCTCTTCCCTGCCCATCCTCCCACTGAGTTAGATTTTGAGTTTTGCTCTTGATAACACATCTTTGGTTGTCTCCCCTTGATATTTTCTAGGAGATGGATCGCATTGTCAACCAAATGCTGCATATTGCCCAGTACCTGGAGTGGGATCCCACGGAACTGAGGCCTGTGAGTGTCCGTAGGGTGGAGCTGCTTCAGAGTGAGCTTCTCAGATGAGAGTGGACCCCACTCAGGACTTGATGCAAATGTGCACTGTGCAGGTGCTCCCAGACTCATCCTCTCACGGCAGCTTCTCTGGAGTTCTCCACCTCACCTCCCACTTCTCTGCTAGGGAAAATGTAGGCAGCGGGGAAAAGTGTAGACATAACTGAAATAATAATTCCCCTAACCTTTACACCAGAGCTAAAATTTTGTAACAGGAATTCATATGTCAAAGAATTTAGATCTAGAAAGAATTTCAGAGATGTTTTCCAAATCATCAGATAATATTAATGATAATAATTACATTTGGGGGCTCCTATATGTCAGGTATTATATTAGACAATTTATATTCATTTTATCTAATCCTTGCTACAGTGCTACAAATTATAACAATAGTATACCCATTTTCACAGATGAGCAAACCAGGACCCAGAGAGTTAAGGTGACTAGAGCCAGACCTAGATGCCTGGCCTTCTCATTCGCATCTGCTCCCTGCCTGCTTTTAATAAGAGGGAAAAGTAGTGAAACACAAGCCAGATAATGCAAGACAGAAGAGAAAGCAGAGGGTGGACGGGAGGTAGAAGAGCTGACTGTGGAAATGAACAATTGTTGCTCTTTGGATCCCACAGATATTGAAGGAGATGTTGCACGGGATGGACTACGACCGGGACGGCTTTGTGTCCCTACAGGAATGGGTCCATGGAGGGATGACCACCATCCCATTGCTGGTCCTCCTGGGGATGGATGACTCTGTAAGTCAACAAGCTGGAGTTCAAAGATTCTTGCCATTCAGGAACATCAGCTCCATGCTATCTATGTATCTCCCTGGCTTCTGCCCAGACTCCCAAGGGACATTCTATACATTCTAGGCCAGCCCAAAGTCCTCTCTATTCTCATCCCGTTTACCTATTAGTGCCTTAAATATATGCATTCATTCAACAGACATTTACTAAATACTGTTAAATAAAAATACTATTCTGCATGCTGTGAGAGAACATAGAAACACAGATACAATATTGGCCTGCAAGAAACTTATACTCAACCAGGCAAGGAGCAAAAAAAAAAACTTCAAACAAAGAATAATTCCATCTTTTCATCAAATTAGGTTTAAAAATGCTAGGAGAATTGGTGAAGGAAGGAAAGAAGAAGAGGAAGGAAGTAATGAGGAAGGGAGGAAAACAATGATCTGTTTGAGGGGCTTTCATGAATGATAACTTGTTTAATAATCAAAACAACTCGATAAAGTATTTTTATCTCAGTTTATAGAGATGAAAATTTGAAGTTCTGAGCCTAAGGAACAAAAGAAGGTTGTGGGATTTGTTCTTGACTCCAAAGATGTTTCACTTTCTAGCATCTCACACATGACTTACCCCCCTGGGAAGAAACCTTGGAGGGTGTTTGACTGTTGCTGAAGAATGTTTGAGATTTTGGTCCGGGCACAGTGGCTCACACCTGTAATGCTAGCACTCTAGGAGGCCAAGGCGGGTGCATCGCTCAAGATCAGGAGTTTGAAACCAGCCTGAGCAAGAGCAAGATTCTGTCTCTACTAAAAAATAGAAAGAAATTAATTGGTCAACTAAAAATATATAGAAAAAATTAGCCGGGCATGGTGGTGCATGCCTGTAGTCCCAGCTATTCGGGAAGCTGAGGCAGTAGGATTGCTTGAGCCCAGGAGTTTGAGGTTGCTGTGAGCTAGGCTGATGCCATGGCACTCTAGCCCAGGCAACAGAGTGAGACTCTTTCTCAAAAAAAAAAAAAAAACCCAAAAAAGAAAATGTTGGGGGCGAAAAAAAGATTGATATTCTATTCCTGAGAATAAAGATCGGGTGGAAACTAGGAGCGGCGCCCATTGCTCGATCTGGCTCGCTGCACCGGCATGGATATCGATATGGCTGGCAGAATGTGGTAGTACAGAAAGTTTGTGGCTGGGAGAACAGCTTGATCAAAACTCAAATGAAAGAAAATTCAGGGTGTGTTATGGAAATCTCTCAGTTTGATCAGAGTAGGGCATAATATGAAATCAATGTAAAGGCTTAATATGAAATCAATGGTTATATGTGCCTGCATCTGAGCCACTCAGTTACTGCATTTTCTGCTTATTTACATGTGAACTAGCTTCCATATATAAAGTAAGGAAGACTGCACTAGCAGAAGCACAAATGGTGACATTAAGCATTTACCAGGACGGTTGCATGGGTCATGTGACAGCACCTCTTTGAGATTCCAGAAGTGCCATGGAGAGGAACAGAGCAGGAAGTGCAGCTGGGTGGGCCTCTCACTGGCTGTCCTTGCCTGTAACATCTGCATCTGACAGATCTGCAATTCGGGACTAAAGCTGAGCCTTCATTTCCAAAGCCCAAGAATAAGAATTCTGTGATCATTTCATAGCATGTCCAGTTCTTCCCAAGTGCTAAATAGAAACCAGGGAACCAGGATCTACACAACTCCCATCTTATTCCTTGGAAGCCTGAAATGTCAGAGCTGGAAAAGACCTTGTGTCTGACCCTTCCCCTTCATTTCACAAACTGAGGCCCAGAGAGGTAAAGGGACTTGCCCAAGGATACACCTAAAATTAGTACCAGAGACCACCCACACATTCAGTAACATCACATCCCTCATTCCACAAACCCCCACTAAGAAGCTGTGTGTCTGTTTCTTCAATATTCTCTCCAGCGTCTCCCCAAATGCCAAATCATCCTTGTAGAAAACTATAATTTACATCAGGGAAGTGGCAAATTCAAAGCAAATGCAAATTTAGTTTTTATTAATTGAAAGTTTTAAGTATTTGTCTTTAACTATATACTAAATAAGTTGTTAACATTTACCCTTTGGGGTTTTGGAGAAAACCCCCATCAACATCTTAAAAGTCCTCTTGCTTATTTGGCTTTTTCAAAATCTGTTGACAACCACTGCAGAGTCTGGGGATCTCTGAGTGGGATATATGCAAAGCAGTCTTTCTCCTGGTGAAACTGTAGTAGCAGTTTAAACCCTGGCGTGCGTAAGGAAGGTACCGCCCACGTTCTGCAGCCTCCACTGCGCAGAAAGGAAAGAGCCACATGATGGTGCTATAACCCAAGCAGAAATGTCGCTGCATCCGAGTCATTATCCATTCACTTCTTATCTTGAATCTATAAAAATAGTAGCGGAAAAAGGGAGAATTTGCTAATTGACCCAGCTAATATTTTCAAATGAAAGGACAGTCTTTTGGGCTACATAAAGAAGCCAGGTCTTCTTTAAAGGGCTGTAATTTGACATCTGTCCATACAGAAAGACTGGTTTGTGGATGGAAGGAACATGAGCTCTGGGACCAGCAAGAGCCCCCAGTTTGACTACTGGCTCAGTCACTCATCACCTGTGAGGTCTTGGGCTAGTTATATAACTTCTCTGAATCTCTGTTTCTCATTCTAGGATAGGAAGACATTCACCTCCTTACGTGTAAATACTCTCTGGTTATTTTTGTGCACCTCCCTCCCGCCCCCAGTGTCTGGTACAGATTAAGAACTTAATAAATTTTTTTTTTTGAGACAAAGTCTCACTTTGTTGCCCAGGCTACAGTGAGTGCTGTGGCGTCAGCCTAGCTCACAGCAACCTCAAACTCCTGGACTCAAACTATCCTCCTGCCTCAGCCTGCCTCAGTAGCTGGGACTACAGGCATGCACCACCATGCCCGGCTAAATTTTTTTTCTATATATATTAAATGGCCAATTAATTTACTTCTATTTACAGTAGAGACGGGGTCTCCCTCTTGCTCAGGCTGGTTTCAAACTCCTGACCTCGAGCAATCCGTCCGCCTCGGCCTCCCAGAGTGCTAGGATTACAGGCATGAGCCACTGCGCCCGGCCTTTAATTTACAATGTGTTAGACACTGGATTAGGAGCTTGCCTTACATTACTTCATTTCATTCTTACAAAACTCCCTTGAGGTAGATGTTTGTCAAATGAATGAATCAGTCTTTTAAGGAATCATCATCAATTTGTGAAGCTATTTTTACTAAACCCTCGTGTAAAAGGGTTTTAGTTCTATGAAACTCACATCTTAGATGAAGCAGGGTTTTGAGGTCTGAGAAGAAAGAGCTTAACCTGGCCCAGAGGAGGAGACCAGCCTTTGGAGAAGAATGTGGGCAGTTCTGGAGATCACAGCAGAAGGCTGGGCACAGGACCAAGTCTGGCTGTGGTGACCAGCCCAAATGCAGAGGTGCCTCACAAGTAAGAACTGGATGTCAGTCGGGCACATTGAACACTATGTCCCTGACCGTCTCTCCTCCCCACCTTATTGCAGTAGCTTTTACTGCTTGTAAAACCAGCCCGAGAATGTTGCTCTAGTGATGGAGTCTACAGTCCAGGGATAGCACAGGCGGGAGGAACATTCCTGAAGCCACGGCCTCCAGCCAGGCTGCGCTCTCCCCTGCGCCACGGAGGGGCGACTGTGTGAGCCTCAGCTTACCTGGGGGTGAGGAGGATTTCACTTCACAGTCAAGTCGGGAGGAAATGGTTTGACCCTCTCTCTGTCTCTGTCTTTTTACTATTTCATCTGTGCACAGAAAGTTGGTAGGAGTACTTTTTTTTTTTTTTACAAAACTATCTCTTCTTGATTATAACACTAGTACATAATCACTATAGAAAAATTGGAAACTAGAGAAGAAAGTAGAAATTAGGGAATAAAATAAATCCATAGTGCTGCCAGCCATAGCTAATCTCTATCAACAGGTAGTGAAATTTCTTCCCATCAAAGATCTTATCATAGGCCGGGCGCGGTGGCTCACGCCTGTAATCCTAGCACTCTGGGAGGCCGAGGCGGGCGGATTGCTCAAGGTCAGGAGTTCAAAACCAGCCTGAGCGAGACCCTGTCTCTACCAAAAATAGAAATAAATTAATTGACCAGCTAAAAATATATATACAAAAAATTAGCCGGGCATGGTGGCACATGCCTGTAGTCCCAGCTACTCGGGAGGCTGAGGCAGTAGGATCGCTGAGCCCCGGAGATTGAGGTTGCTGTGAGCCAGGCTGACGCCACGGCACTCACTCTAGCCTGGGCAACAAAGTGAGACTCTGTCTCAAAAAAAAAAAAAAAAAAAAAAAAAAAAAAAGATCTTATCATATGAAACTGAGATCAGAACATATTGTCAAATTTGCATTATGCTTTTTCACTTAGCATTATAATGAGCACGTTCCCATGCCATTAGATTGAGTATTCTCATAAATATCTTTTTGATTGCCACCTAATATTAAGTCATATGCATGTACCACAATGAATCTTTTGCTAATTTTGAGACCTATAGGATATTTCCAGTTTTTCCTTATTTTAAGTAATACTGGGTTAAGGATCTAACAGAAACAAAAATGCTCATCTGTCTTTTAAAAATTATTTCTTTAGGAGTTCAGCAAGGGAAATTTGTAAGTCAAAGGTTGTAAACATTTAAAGGTTCTTTAGATTGAAAGATGCTAGAGATAGGTAGAAAGAGAGAGATGACAGACAGACAGACAGACAGATAGAACTGTTGTTCCCATTTACGTACACATCTGCTACCCATGTAAGAGAGGGCTTGTTTTATCCTGCACATACTCCCATGGAGTGTTCCTTGTTTTTAATATTTGCTAATTTTAGAGAACACACACAACAAACTTTATTTTGATATGTATTTAAAATAATAAAAAATAAGAGTTACTTGTCTTCCAAATATGAGAAAAGGGTCTTTTTTAGAAAAAGAAAGAACATGCGAGAGGCAGCCCTGGCCTTCCTCTATCGAGGGCCTGCCAGCCCGGGGTCTGACCTCCTACTACCCCTGCAGGGCTCCAAGGGGGACGGGAGGCACGCCTGGACCATGAAGCATTTCAAGAAACCAACCTACTGCAGCTTCTGCCACATCATGCTCATGGGTGTCCGGAAGCAAGGCCTGTGCTGCATCTGTGAGTGACCTTCCTTCCACCCCTTTCCCCGGCACCATCTTGTTCTTCACGTGGTTGGTTGATCCAGTCCCGAGAAGATCTAGGTATTTCTGCTTCCTAGCTTGAGGGACCACCCACATTGTTCCAGCAGCAGGGAGCAAAGGCCTGTATGTCCTGATTTTACTTTGCCCAAGTCAAATGGAGTCTTGTCCTGGGCCACCGACCCCCTAGAAAAAGCTATTAAAGTCATATATCATTAAAAAAGCATCTCATACTAGTTTTAGTGGGGTTTTTGAGTCAATGTGTACTCCAGGTATGTTCAGAGGAACCTGGTTTTTTAAAATTAATAAGCAATATGTTTAATATTCTGTAAATGCAATGGGAATTAAAACTATACATTTGTTTTACTTCATAATCCATTTAGTAAAGTCAGAAGGGAAAGGAGAAAAAAACACAAGTGATAAGAGAAAAAAGAGAGAGGGAGACAGGAAAGGAGAACTCGAGAGAGATGGAGAGGCAGGAGGAGGGAGAAGGGGTGACGTAGGAAGGGAGGGGACACAGGGACCAGGAGGAGGCTATGCAGGGGCCAGCATGCATGAGCGCTCAGCCTGCCAACCACCTGTGAGGAGGCCGCAAACGCTCGGCCTGAACCCGCCCCCCAGAGGCTGTGCATGGAGGCCTCTCGGCTGTGGCCCAGGTCAGGAGGCTCGTATGACGTGCATGTGTGAAAGTCAAAGAGCCACCTCAGCCACAAGAGCCACCGTGGCAGAGCCGGGCCTACTGCCCACCGAGAACAAGCACCACCGGGCGAAACACGGGCTGCACCACCAGTCTTTCTGGCACCTGCTCAAGTCCAGCCTTCACTCACGTTTTATGGACACAGTCTCCTTCCTGTTAAGTTGTAGGCCTGTGGGCCTCTGCTGTTTGCAAAATAGTAGTGACAGCAACAGCCACTATAATTTGTAGAATAGCTACTCTGACCCAGATCTGTGGTTTTTTTTACAATCAATAATCTCATTCAATGCTGCAAAATCCCTGTAGAGAGAAAAAGAAGCCATTTTATTCCCATTTTACAGAAAACCTCTCTGAATTTCAGAGAGGTGAAGCAAGTTAGATCGTGTGGATTGTCACAAGTGGCAGAACCAGAGATCAGGCTTGGGACTGCCTAACCCCAAAGACCCCCTGGTTGTCTGTCCGCTCACCTGCGTCCCCTGTGATGGCGCCTTTCTGGTGGTGTCCCTCTGCACTCACTCCCATGGAGGAAGGCAGCGTGGTGGGGAGAGGTGCAGAAGCATGACTGGAGGTACCCAGGGACTGTCTCCTCCAGGAACAACCGGAGACTGTCCTAATTTCTGTTAGGCGAGCTGGCTCCATGTGTCCCCTGCCTCTCACTGGCCGTCCAGAGGGAGGTACAGGCCTTGGCTGGGGTGCAGAGTGGCTGGGCCTTTTGTAGGTGGTCACTCACAAGCATCTTACTTATTTTTTTTCAGACTGTAAATACACTGTCCATGAACGCTGTGTATCCAAAAACATTCCAGGATGCGTGAAAACGTACTCAAAAACCAAAAGGAGCGGCGAGGTTGGTGACAACTATTGACCTGTTCTATTGCATGCTGCATCGGGCAACATGTCCATCACCACAGATTCCTGGGCAGGAAGGGGCTTTGAGAGCTCTATCCAGTCCCTTCCCTTAAACCATCCTGTTCATCCATCAATCCATGCAGCATCTCCCTGGTGCCCCCATGTGCCAGGCATCATGCTGGGGGGCACATAGGTTATAAGAGATTGCTCCCAGCCTGCTCAGGAACTTCACTGAACAGGGGGAGAGACGGGCATGTAAGCAAAGTGCAAAGTAGCGAGATATATGCTGTAATAATAGAGCCATGTGGAATGTACAGTGAGGCACAAAGGAGAAGCCAGGGAAAGTTTCTCAAAGGAGGTAGCATTCGAGTTGCATCTTGAACACAAATCGGGAAGGTTTCATGAGACATGGAGGACAGGACACTCCAGGTAGAAGAAGGCCCGTGTGTAAAGGCATGGAGACATGGCTTATTCTGGGATCCACGCTGAGTTTGGTATGGCTGGGACAGGGGATGTTTAAAGGGAAGTGGCAAGAGAGGTACCCAGAACTTGGGGGGATCCAGCCTGGAGAAAGTCTTCTCCAGCCAGAGCATTTAGAAAGGGGTTTCCTATGCAGCCAAGGGGCCATTAAAGAGCTTCAGGTACATGAAGCTATAATTGAGTTTGCAAATAGGGTTAATCACTCTGCGTGTGACATAGGAAGGAAATCAGAGGGGGAGAATTCTTCCAATAGTTGAGGCAAAAAGGTAGTGCAGCACTGAGAGCCTGACAGGGGAGGGGCACCCTCACCCGCTGCAGCATGTCTGTGCCTAGTGTCCCCCAGCCCGTGCCAGTTATTGGCTCAGGTAGAGAAAATGAAGGGAGAGTTTGAGACGTGATTTGGAGGTGCCACCTCCAGGACCTGGTGATGGGGAAGCAGAGGATGAGAGAGAAGAGGCTGTTAGGTTTCTAACTTGGCCATTGGGTGGTGCCATTCACCCAGTCTGGAAATATAAAATTAGCAGAGAAGGGCACTTTGCCTTCCTGCAGAGGGAGGATTCCGTTGAGGAATCTTGGTGAGTGGCACCCAGCTCTCCCACAGGACTCCTGGGAGAGAAAGGTCCTCTTCAGACGTGTCTGCATGCCCCATGGACTGAGCATGGCCTCCCATCTGCTCCTTCTGCACCACCCCATGCACACCACTCCATGTCCATGCCTTTCACCGGGACACATGGTGTGCCTTCTGGGCTCAGGCCCTAAGCCTGCACGCTGGCCACCTGCCACACAGAGAACATAGCAAGGCCACTGGGGGGCCAGCAGGGCACATTCACCACCTTCTGAGCCTGCAGGGCCAAACCGAGTCCTTCACCATCTCTTCAGATCCCAAAGAGAACAGGGAAGGCAGCGTGGTGTTGGGGAGACAGCCCTGGACTTGGAGCAGAAGACCTGGCTGTGAGTCCCTGCTTGGCCGCCAGCAGCCCTGGAACCTAGGGCCAGTCACTTCACCTCTCCAAACCCTCATTTTTTTGTCTGCAAAATGGAAATGACAATAATCTCAGAGCAAATTCAATGTGACCATGCAGATGGCAAATTGATTAACAAACTGAGTTCTTTAAACCCCCAGGAGTACAAGGCAGAGGTGAGAAGCTACCAACCAAATGTGACACACCTCCTGTAGCAATCATTTTACCAAACACATCCTGAGGGGAAGTGTTAAGCAGCTTAATTGCTAAGTAATTTTAAACATGTATTCTTATTTAATACAAACATGAATAGTATCATGCAAATATTTCATGTATTTTGAATATTGTGCTTGCAGTTGGGCACTTCAGGCTACGCTTCTGCAATCCCCTGGAGTCCATATTCACTTCCTTCTGCCATTCAGAGTACCCTGGTGGGTATTTTTGAGAAGTTCTGTAGAATTCTAGAGGGAGCGAACCATGAGCTGAGGCTCCCAGATAGTGGAGTCATGAGTCAGTTGCTATCATTTCAGCTGCATTGACACACAGACAAAGACATTCCCAACTTGCAAGTTCTTAGCCTGCCTTGGTGGTATTTCCTGGCCAGGGAGCAGATACAGCCAGCTCTCCAGGAAACAGGTGTGAAAGGCACCAGTGGACCCTCACTAATTTATTTATATATTTTTTCGAACTTCCTTCTGTAGTATTTCTCAATCTTAGCTGCACATTATAATCACCCAGAGTGCTTTAATACATACTTATGAAGGGTCCCACACCTGGAGCCTCAATTTATTTGGTGTGGAGTGTGGGCTGGGCATTAGGACTTCTAGAATCTTCCCAGATGGTTCTAATGGGCAGTTAAGGCTGAGAAGGGAGAAGAGAATTACCCAACAGTGGAATCTCCAAAGGGCCAGGACTATGCCAGGCAGACCCTTCCAAGTGTACTATCTCGTTGCATTCTCCCAACAATCCCCAAGGTGGGACTTATTATGCCAATTTCTACAGATGAGGGACCTGGGACTCAGAGAGGACCAGGAACTGGCCAAAGGTCACCCCGCTGCAAGTGACTCCAGCTAGTTTTGTCTGCAGCCCATTCAAGCCCTCCAGAGCTCCCCTGCACCACGTTGCCTTCCGGAAGAGGGCACACACAAGCACATCACTCTGCAAGGAGTTCTGCAAGACAGACATATGGATTGCCAGACAAGGTGCTGCTCAGAGGCTTGCCTGCAAGGGTGGATGAGCTGTTCAAAATGCAGGCAAAGAGGTTTTTATCTACCATGATTAGCATGATAGTGGTTAGGCAGGGAGAGACCTCAGCAAAGCAATTCAGCATCCAATAACCATCCCCTAACAGGAAATAGCTCCTCTGGCTCCCCCCTCCTCTTCTCCTCCAGCCCAGGGCCCGGGGGGCATGGTTTTGCCACCTTCCCTGGTACCCTTCCCTTCCCTCCTGCAGGTGATGCAGCACGCATGGGTGGAAGGGAACTCCTCTGTCAAGTGTGACCGGTGCCACAAAAGTATCAAGTGCTACCAGAGTGTCACTGCACGGCATTGTGTGTGGTGCCGGATGACGGTGGGTTGGCGCCCAAGGCGGCCCTGCTTCTTTTCAGTGTGGTTCTTTGCTTGGTCAAGCTGCAGCCCAGGAGCAGCGAACATCCCACCGGAGGGCATGAGCAGAGCCAGGGGAGCAAGGCTAGGAGGGCCCCCAGAGCCCCCATTAAATGCCCAACAGGGCTCCAGCAAATCACCAAGCTACCCAGAGAAAGGGCACCCCCAGAACCAGGGGGGTGAGGGCTGCTTAAGAAGAATCTGGCCAGTCCACTGTCTCTGTGGCCTGGCAGCTGGGAAGTTCAGACCATGAACTTCCATCACTTGGGTGTCATCTGGGGCTGGGGACACTGACAGAGTGGGAGAGGAATTAGACACCAGAAGCATCAGAGGAAGAAGCGCCTGAAGGCACATTCCTGAGGGCAGCCCATGCCTGGGTCAGAGGCCTGGCCCCGCTGCCCCAGCTGCAGCACATACTAGAGTCCACAGCCCCTCTGGACACCAGGAGCACCGCTAGCAGCCAGTGAGCTGCCTGACCTGCCCACCAAAGAAAACTCAGTGACATTCCTTGTCCTCCTGAGCAGGTGTCACCTGCAAACAGGAAATTTCTCCAAGCCAGCCTGCAAAACTCTCAAAATTCAGAGGTTGAGTCATGGGGTTTACTTTAGCTCTCATGAGCTTGTTCATGGAGGTCTCCTTCCTACCAGGGTCTCAGAGCCTGGGGAGCAGATATGCAAGGGGGGCTCTGGCATCAACATGAAGTTGCCACGCTGAAGGGCCCAGGCCTGCTCATGACTGTTTTACTGTCATAACCATGAGCAGCTCTTGGCACTACTGGCCACACAAACACACACTCACACACACATACACACACACACACACACACACACATACACACACACACATTCGGCGATCCTGCCAGAGCCAGTAGTGCACCAGGATTTGGGGGACACTAGACAGTTTGCCTACCCAGCAAAGCTCTAAACCCTCATAGTTGGTGTTTCTTTGATCACTTTCACTCACTCTCACCTTCGTTTTTTTTCCCTCCAGTTTCACCGCAAATGTGAATTATCAACATTGTGTGATGGTGGGGAACTCAGAGACCATATTTTACTGCCCACCTCGATATGCCCCATCACCCGGGTAAGTGCTCCTGCCCCGGCCAGGGCTCTGGCTTCTCCAGGTTCACACTTCAGATGTAGGCAGCATTCAGGTGTTCACACCACTCAGAGGGCTTCCCTGACAGCTCTTAGGGCTCGTGTTTTCAGTACATCAGTGGTGCACTGGCTGGATTGCAAGAGAAAACTTCTCAGATTAAACTGGTTCCAGCTGCTGGCCACCCAAACAGTCTGAAATGGCCCATCAAGGAAAGCACATTTGTCCTGAGCCCTGCGCAGGCAGAGTGCTACTAAAGGAACCTCAGTCACCAGCTGCACACAGCTGGCCTCCCAGCCTCCCTCAACCCTGTAAGCCTCTCTCCTATGTCCAAACGTGCATCTCCCTCTGCCTTGAGAGTTTCCACCTGGGTGTTTCAGCCCTATTTGGAAATGAAAGCAGAAAAATTAAACTCCCCACCTGAAACACATCTATCTACATTGAAGACTCCTCTTTTAAACGAGCACCAAGTACTTTTTAACTTTGCCCTCTTCCCATCTTAAAAATGTTGCAAAGTCCCACTGATTGCTCACATCTCATCCTTGATTAACCAGCAACTTCTTTCTCATTAAAAACCTAAGAAAAACCACCACTTTGGAAAACCATTTGGCAGTATCTACTAAGTCAGAAATATACAAACTCTGTAACCCATCAATTCTCCTCCTGTGTATCTGCAAGAAATATGAGCATTTATTCTACCAAAAGACATGTACAAAAATGTTCATATTCCAACTTTATTCCCAACAGTCAAAAACAGGAAACAAGCTAAATGACCATTAACAGGAGACTAGATAAATTGAGGCATATAGGCATGTGGTATTCATATACTAGAAAACTACATCGCAATGGAAAAGAACTATGCATAGATGTAAAAACATGGAGAATCTCAAAAACATAATGGCGAACAAAAGAAGCCAGACTCAAAAGAAGATATGCTCTATGATTCTATTTATATGAAATTCAAAAGCCAGGCAAAAGCAGTATGGTATCAGGAGTCATAACAGGGTTATGCTTGAAGAGGTAGTAGTTATAAGGGCATATGCATATGCAAAATTTAACGAGCTGTGCAATTTAGATTTGAGATTTTACTATATGTGAGATAACCCTCAATAAAATAAATAACAAACATTGAAAAAAAACAATACAAACAAAACCAAGAAAAATGACTTAATATCACACCATTAGATAGTGCTGAGCAGAGAAACCAAGTCTAAGAACTTGCTTCTCAGAGCTCAAGCTTCTTAATCAACAAACTAAAATTCTAGCAATTTTGGCATACCCTCTTCTTATGACCTTTGCAAGTATCTCAAAGCTAAAGTCAGAGCAAGTGATGACAGAGGCTTGGAGAGTTCTAGAAAAACTCGTAGGGGTGCATGCCTGTTTTTAGGTCCAAAGCCCCACTTTGAAATAAAACCTCTCCACACTATACTGACTTTCTCTTTTTTTCCCCCATTTTTTTACATCAGCATATTATGGGGGTACAAATATTAAGGTTATGTATATTGCCCATGCCCCACCTCAAGTCAGAGCTTCAAGCGTGACCATCCCCCAAATGTTACACATCTCACTCATTATGTTTATATAAACCCATCCCCTCCTCCCCCCCCCACATGCCCGACACCCGATAAATGTCATTCCTGTATGTCCACTTAGGTGTTGATCCGTTAGTACCAATTTGCTGGTGAGTACATGTGGTGCTTGTTTTTCCATTCTTGAGATACTTCACTTAGTAGAATGGGTTCCAGCTCTATCCGGAAAAATACAAGAAAATACCATTGATTCTTAAAGCTGAGTAGTACTCCATGGTATACATATACCACATTTTATTAATCCACTCATGTATTGATGGGCACCTGGGTTGTTTCCACACCTTTGCGATTGTGATATACTGACTTTCTGATCTCTTTCTTTCTATCAGCCATTTATTTTTTGATCTGTTCTCTTTCTTTATTTGAGGCTTCCCCCCCTCCCCTAAAAAAAAAAAATGCTTGTCTTTCCTCTCTTTTCACAGGACAAGCAAAGTGGGAAGTCTGACGGCAGCGGGCCAGCCAAGGGCGAGCTTGTGATGCAGGTACCGCCACGAGCGCCGAGTCCCAGCTCTTTCTAAGTCGTCCCAAGGCTGTGGCGGGGAGGACGGGGTTTGGGTTCTGGAGAAGTGTATCTCAACATGTGCTTTCTCATCTGAAGAGTTATCTCACACAGGAAGACATTTGCTTTCTGGCCCCTGGAGTTACCTTTGACCCCCACATTGTCAGCAAGTGATGAGAGGGGAACCTGGCTGGTCCCACTGCTGGTCTAATTGACGGGATCACCTTTTTAGGAACAAGTTACATAAAACTTTAACATGCAAACCTCTTAAATAATAACAAAAAGGTGGCCTAAAAATAGACAATGGGTTCTCCAAGATTGCCAAGCTGTCTCCAGAACATGAGCTGCTAAAATGAAGCTAACCAGATCCAAAATTTCTTCTTAATCCCTAAGTGTGTATGTATTTAAGAACTCATTTGTACTTGGATTCACCAATGAACATCTTTTTTTGTGCCTTACGCAGAATTACAAGGAATGCAGGAGAGGCAGCCTGGTGAGGGACAAAGAGTACTAGAAAAGGAAATAGGAAAGTAGGGCCTCCTCATCTGCCTCTGAGCCTAAGTTTCCTTGTTTGAAAGGGGACCATAGCAATTCCCATACTACCCATCTCCCAGAGGTGCTGTAAGATTGAATGAGAACATGCAGATTAGTGTGTATTAAAAATTAAAACATAAGGCATGATAATGGGAGAAACTTAGTATGTGAGAAAGCTCTAGACACCTAGAAGGGCAGAAAGGCAGGTGAAAACACACGCACGCGCACACACACACACATGCACGCCCTGATGCAGCCATGCCAGTTGTTTACAGCAGGCATCCCTCTGCTTGTCCTGCATCTGTTCCGATTGGGTGGTGCCCATGCTGTACAGGTTGGTTGTTAAATGTTTTGAACATCATCCCCAGAGGTAAGGGGTTATTCCTCAGGCTCCAATATACTTTGTTGTGTCACAGGAACAGTCACCCTGGGCTAGGCAGTTGAGAGAATTTTTTTAATCATAAAGAATACTTCTGTCCTTTTCAAACAACATAGCACTGTGTTTTCTGGATCTTTAGTTTGAGATCTGGAAAAGCAGGCATTCTATAGTGAGTATGGAGCAGAGCTGCATCTCTGCATCAGCGCCCTTCAACTGGTCCACAAATATTCATTGAGCATCCACTCCCATGTCTGGTGCTATGGGGTTCTTGGCAGGAGGGTTATATACCCACTCCCATCCAGCTCCTGATGCATTTAAAATCCAGTTGATGTCTTGAGACATTTACCTAAGAAAGTAAAAAACAAATATTAATACAAATAAACAAGAAAAGAAACTCTAGAAGATAATGCACATATTAAGTGCAATAGTTTTAGCTGCAGTGATCATGGGAAACTTCATAGGGGAGGAGGCTCTTGAATTGGACACTGAAGATAAGACGTTTTTAAAGAGGTTACAAAGAAGGAAGTGTGCCTTTCAGGACATGGAGCAGGAGAAGAAATCAGCATGAGCAGATGCACGGTAGGAATGCAGGAGACTCACTCACTAGAGGAGCAAGGGCAGGGCTTGGCTGGACCTGCTGCTGAAGGTTAGCAAGAATTAGGAAGTAGCAACAGAATGGGGCTGGACTGAAAAGGCCTTGGAAGCCAGATTAGGAGATTTGGATTTTATCCTCTGGTCAGTGAGGCATCATTAAAGATTTTTAAGCAGGAGTGGCGTGGCTGACCTGCTGTCCTGGGAAGGAATTGCCTGGGGGCAGTAGATAGGACATACTTGAGCTAGGAAAGGCCTGAGCAGCATGAGACTGTGACAGCTGCCAGAGATGAAGGGACATTCCAGGGAAAGGGATGACAGGCCAGGACCTTCCCTGGATGACTGAATGAATAAATGACACCTTTGACAGCAAGCAAGCCAGGAGAGAGGACGAGTGCCCTGGGCAGAGAAGATGGGTCATGCTTGAGTCATGTTGAGTTCATACTGATAGCGAGCCTTCTAGTTGAAGGTACACAGTGGGCAGTGAGAAATGTGGGAACAGGGCTCAGGAGGAAAACTGGGGCTGGAAATGTGCACTTGGAAGGTGCCAGGGTGGAAGAGATGGTTCACTCTATGAGTGTTATTTTATTTACGTGCATGATCAGATGGCCATACCTCCTAACATGGTATTCAGTTGCCTCTCACAAAATGTAATCTTGTGCTGTGGGGCACAATGCTACACCATCGTTAAATGATTTGAAGCTACAATAGCATTGCCCTATCTCTGACCCCAACCTCAAACTCTCATTGCCATTGGTACTACTTAAAGGCCACTCAAGCTAGAGACACTTAGCTGCTCAGTCCCTCAGAAATTTCAGCCAGTGGACAAAGACCTGTCAGCCTAACTGCCTCTCCTCCACACCTGGGACCGCTCCATCACCTCTCCTAAGCTCTCTCGGCATCAACTCTCATCTCAGCCCTCCTGTTGAATGAAGCAGAGCTAACTTCTTTTTCTTTTACCTTTTAAGTATAAGATCATCCCCACCCCGGGTACCCACCCCCTGCTGGTCTTGGTGAACCCCAAGAGTGGAGGGAGACAAGGAGAAAGGTAAGTTCTCTTCTCTTTCAAGATTCGGGCCCCTCCTCCCCTCGACCATAACAGAGCAGGCTGTGGTGACAGGCAGACTCGCCCCCAGCACTGCCACCTGCCACTTCAGTACTTAGCCCAAGTGACTTCACTTCCCTGGTCTTCAGTTTCCTCCTCTACAAAATGGGGATAAAATGAATAATAATCCCTCCTCTCACAGGGTTATTTTGAGGATGAGAACAGACATGGGCCTGCCACTTGAGCCTTCATTAAAGCTCCCAGGGTCAAACCAAGTTGTGAGATGCCTGTTCCCTCCCAGCCTCCCGAGTCTTTTCTTGGAGATGTGTCGAGGCCCGCTCATGAGGACCTCCTGGCCACACCCACCCCTAAGAAGGCGGGGCACCCACCTCATTCGTTTGCTGGCAGCTGGAGGCTGCTAAACAGGGTGGGAGGGGAGAGGCAGAAGGGGTACAGCGGCTTCTGCCCTCCCCCCGACACCCAGGACTGTTTAGTTCTGGGGTGATGAACGCATGACACAATGATCTGAAATCCAGGTTAAAAAGATAATGATTAGTAGGGCTAAAGCAAGAACTATGAGGACCCCACCCCAGTCTAAGGGGCAGGACATCCCTCCCCACCTGACCTGATTGGTGTAAAGCTGGAGGCTGGAAACCAAGCCTGGTCGTGGCCACTGCCTCTCAGCCCTCCCTGCCCCAACCCCACCTCCTGCATTTCCTCCTCCTCCCGGGACTGCAGGGGGCCTCTCTCTAGGGTGATTTGATGCCTTCATGCAGTCCTCAAAGGGCAGAATCATCCTGCCTAGACCATACAGAACATTTGGGAGGTCTCTGTGGAGGAAAAAGCTTTAGAAGGAAAGTTCTGTCCTCTGGATTTCTCTGCCCTGTCCTCTCTGTAAGAGGTGATGCTCCTGGGGTTAGAGGCTAGAGCCTTGAATGGTGGGGCAGCCTTGAACTGGGGGGAACACAACATGGATGATGCTCAGGACATCGGGGTCTTCATGCATCCTTCTCCTTTCTCAAGTTTAAATGGACTTTAAAGAGGTGTTTGCCCTAATGTGACTTCCCACGATGACATTTTCCCTCTGTGTCTGTCTGTCTCTCTCTCCCTCCTTTTCTTTTTTTCCCCATAGAATTCTTCGGAAATTCCACTATCTGCTCAACCCCAAACAAGTTTTCAGCCTGGACAACGGGGGCCCTACTCCAGGGTATGAAGATAATGATCTTTACCCCTTATTTCCCCGCACCTTTTTGATCTCTAATGAAGATGCCCTTCTTTTGGCACCTTTTTCATCTCTTGTCTCTCATCTCTCAACTTGTCCTTCCTACCATTTGCCCCCTTTCTCTTCTTTTTCTCACATCCTACTCTTACTCCTGGACATTCCTGGGACACCCGCTACGGCCCTCTTGTACCTGATCCCAGAAAAAGTCATTGAATTTGTAAGAGGGGAAAACTGCACATACCATTGATTTCATTGACAGCAAGAGCAGGCTGGCAAATTATTTTAACTTATTTGCAAGGCTGCGTTAGCTGGTATCTTCCTACTGAATCATCAGGAAGGAGAAAGAGTTTTCTTATCACTTGTCAGTCAGCAGTTTGGAAATCTGTACAGTGACTCAGAGTTCTGTCGTGTATTCTGCTGTGGGGACATTTTAGGATCAAGGCATTGGTTATTCAAGAGAATCGCTTTTCTTTTCTGGATTATCCAATTTTGAGGTTGTTATGCTCCTCCCGGCCCTTCTCCTCCTGCCCCTTGTCTATTGGCTTTTTCACTGCCCATTAGCAGAAGGTGAAAAGAGGTCTGCTGGGAGGAGCCGGTGCCTGTGCCAGTGGCTAACGTGGGGAGCGGCGCGTCCCTAGAATCGAGGCCCCTCCAGCACCTGGGCTGCAAGGCGTGGAAAACTTGGGCTTCTTCCCAGCCAGAGCTGGCGCACTACAGCCACCTGCTGGCCAGTCCCGGCCCCTGGGCTGTCTCAGCACACGCTGGGCCGCCATTTCCCAGCACAAGGCCGCTTTACCTAACCTCCTCACCAGAATTTCTACTCTGGGTTAAGCAAGACCCCTCAGAAGGGCTGGAGTAAGGACCAGCCCTTCTGGGAAAAAGGGAATCTGATCCCGTCTTCGGATGTCTAACACGAAACTGTTCTTTATGGCAGTGGTGGTACAAGACCCAGTTCAAAGGAGAAAGAAACATGAGTTCAAATTCAGTACTCTTGCCATGATTTACTTATAAAACTAATTTCAGAGGAGAGCCCACCTGTCCTGCTGCGGTTGCCATCACAGCCGCCATGACTGCAATTTGCTGCTGTGTAGCGTAACCTGTGACCAAGCAGCCAGAGGCACCTTTAAAGCCCAGTCGCAATACTTGAATACAGTCCTCTAGCTTAATCACATCCACCCTAAATTGTTTTCACTCTGATGAGAGGGCAGGTGTCCCCTTCCAGGCCTGATGTGCCCCGGGTGCCTCTGATGTGCATGTCACTCTGTAATCAGACGGGCTGTCTAGCACAGGGAGCCTCCCCGGGAATTCACTTCCCATAGGAGAGCAGAGTTCTGCATGAGCAGTGGAAGAGAAGGAATGTTAATTTTCCTACACATGCATCTGTGATTCCAAGAAACCCAGGGGTCTTCTCAGATCACCAGGCTGGGCAAAGGGGAAGCACTGACCTTCAGCTTCCCAAGTCCCAGCCCCAGGCGTCCACAGGTTACATTTGTTCTAAAGGAGAGGCTATTCACTTTTTTGTGCCAGGAACCCCTTTGGCAGTCTATAAAGCCTTTTGGACCCCTTTTTGGGATAATATTTCTTAATTCACAAAATGAAATAATATAGGATGACCAGGGAAACTAATTATATTGAAAAATAGTTATTAAAACATTAAAAAACAAATTTGTGATATGGGAGTATTTGTGCTTTACCAGCACATTAAATAGCAAGATCTCAAAGCAGGTCTAATAACTACTGTAAATTCTAAGCAGTGAGGAGCAGACACAATAAACATTACGAGCTATCTGCCATGCTGTAGTAAAACACTAACACAGTTGCAATACTGACTACTGACAAAGTCACAGGTGTCATCAGTATCTCTGTGATTTGTTGCCTACATTCATAATTGAAGGAAAAGCTAAATTTCAGATAGAGCTGAGAGGAATAAGAATGTAATGTTTTCTCCTCCAAGTTCATGGCCCTCTGAATCCACAGACCCCTTAGAGGTTGATGGACCTCAGGTGAAGAGCCCTGCTCTAAAGGGTTAAGTACTGACCTTCAGCTTAAAGGGTTACAAACTCTGGATCCCTCTGCACAGCTGTAGAGAGTTTCTAGAAAACCATTTTTTGTTAGTGTTGAATTCTGAGTCAGAGTCTCTGTATACAAGGAGGCTCCCTGGGATTTTTCTCCATATTCAGTGGTACTGCATTGTAAATTCTGATCTCAGAATGTTAAGAGACCCTTTCAACCCCAAAAGAAATCAAGGTCTTAACATCCCTTTAGAAAACAAGGGAGACTCTGACTCAACAAGGATCAAATGTCAGCCACACCCTAGTCAACAAGCCCATTTTAGCCTTTCTTCTGCTTCCCAGATTGAACTTTTTCCGTGATACTCCAGACTTCCGTGTTTTAGCCTGTGGAGGAGATGGGACAGTTGGCTGGATTTTGGATTGCATTGGTAAGCATGGGCTGGGAGGGCCTTTACTGTTTATTTATAGTAAGTATATTTAAAGTCAGCAGAAGGCAATAAAAAAAGAGGAGTGGAGCCATGTCTTGTTCATCCTTGTATCCACCCTTGGACCAATGCTCGCCTAAATATCTGCTTTGGATGGAAAAAAATGAAGAAATAAGACAATGGAAAGATTCCCACAGACACAGAGATAACAGTTTAGCTTCAGGCCTTGCCTCAAAAACATATCTGTCGTGGCTGGAGTTTGGGCAGTGGCAGGACAGACCAGATTTGGTGGGAGATAGGGGTTGGTAGGGACAGGACTGGGACTCCAGACAGATCTGGGTGGGTCAAGGCCAGAGACATCAGCATAGATGCGTGGCCCAGGGCAAATCACCTTGAAATGAACACCTTGAGCCTCAGTCCAGAAAGCCCATCTGGAAAGTGCAGATCAGCACAAGCAAAGAGGGCCACACTGGGCTGTGTCTGATACACCTACATAAAAAGGGCAGCAGGCAGGGCTCAGGCTGGGAATCTGGAGGCCTGAATTCTAGCCCAGCCCTGCCTGGATCTGTGGGTCCCTGGACACATCAGCCCAGTGAGTGATGGAGACTGACCCTGTGCAATTCTGGGATGGGGTGTATTCAAGATCTAACCCTGGAGAACTCAGATGAACACTGCAACGTGGAACACAAGGCCAGGAAAGCAGGCAAGGGAAGCACTGGCAGGGCAGTCATCAAAGTCAGAGACAGAGCCCAGAGCAATGAGCCCTGGGCTGCTTCGGTCTTCCCATCCTGCATTCCACAGACACGGCCTGTGCACCTGTGTGTGCCCAGCTCTCCTCTAGGCACTGAAGACACAGCAAGGAACAAACACAAAAATTTGCTTTCCTAGAGCTTACCTTCTAGAGGGAAGAGACAGGCAATAAACAATGAAATAAGTGAAACATACAGTATGTCAGAAGGTAATAAAAATATAGCAGGGAAGGGGCAAAGGGCTCAGGGTGGGGGTGTCCAGGGAAGACCTTACAGGGAAGATGACATTTACATGGAGACCTGGAGAGGGGGTGAGCCCTGTGGATGCCTGAGGAAGAGCAGTCCCTGCAGAAGGGACAGCAAGGACAGAAGCCCTGAGCTGGGAGCAGGCTGGGCTACTGAAGGCAGGCCAGTGTGGCCAGTGCAGAGTGGATGCGAGGAGAGTTATGGGGCATGAAGCAGAGTTGATGAGGGGCCAAGTCCTTGGAACATATGAACCAGGCTTGGACCACAGTGGAAACAGAGGAGTCGTGAAAAGTGGCCAGCCTCTGGACATCTTTGGGAGGTGGAGGGAACAGGACTTGGGGACAGGCTGATGTGGGAGATGAGAGGAAGAGAGGAGTCGAGGATGGGCCAGGACTAGGCCCTGACTGGGCAGGAAAGCTGGGCCTGCAGGGCTGTGAGGAGACCACCTGGAGGGGTGAGAAGGCTGCACACCTGCCACCCTCTGCTCCCCCACCCCCAGCGCTCTGGTTGCCATGGACACAGCCCTGCCAAGCAGCCGCCCACACTCTCCTGTCACCTCAGGCTCTGGAGTTGTGGGAGGAGGGAGGAGTCCTCCGGAGCCAAGGCAGGAAGAGCTGATCTGCAGAGGGTGGAGGGCTGCAGCGTGGGGCTACTTGCATGGCTCCTCTCTATCGGGAGGGACGAAGTAGACTTTGGTGATAAGTTTTATCAAATTCATCTGCAGAGGACACAGGTGATAGAAGCTGCTCAAAACAGAAAGAAAGAAGATGACGTGAGGCGGAAGAAATGTTAGGTTTTTTCACAGGTTAGTGGCCCAAAGAAAAAAAGCAGAGGTAAAAAGAATAACTGCATATGTGTTCATTCATTCATTCATTCTACAACCATGTGAGCACTTGCTCTCCAGTGCCACGCTGTGGTCCCCTCTCTGATCTGTTTTTCCCCTACGGCCAGAGCAGCTTTTCCTGAATGTCAGTGGCTTCTTGATGTGGGGGAAACACATCAGTGGCTTCCCAGTATTAGGACAACGAGAAAAGCCCTTCAGGTGATCTAGGGGGCCCTGGCAGCCAGCCGCTGACCACCCTTCCAGCCATATTTCATGCCTCCATCTCTCTCCTTCTAGACTCCTGCCCTCTCTGACCTTAGGCACACCAGTCTCCCTCCCACCACAGGGCCTTTGCACGAGTTGCTCCTGCCATCAAGAATGTTGCCCCAGCCTTTGCTTGGTCAGCTTCTGTTCCAGCTAGCAGCAGAAGTGTGGCTTCCTCAGGGGCCTCCCCTGACACGCCCGCTGGCCTCCGTAACCTTATTATACAACCGTGCTCCTCTCCTTTCCAATGGGAATGTGAAATGGTGCATTCTCCTCGTGAAGACCTCATTAATATCTGTCTCTCCCACTGGGCTGTACGCACCGTGAGAGCCTGAGCCATGGCGTTTTTGCTCTCTGTCAGAGCTGCAGCACTTGGCGCCACATTTAGCAGGCAGTGGCTTCGGTTGGTTTGTGTGAGGATGCTGTGGGGATGAGACCCAGCTCCCCTGGGAGCTTACGGAACAAACAAGTAGACAATTGCAAGAGAGTGTGAGGAGGTCATTTCTGGTGCTAAGGAAACATTCTGAAGAGGCTCCAGGTCCAGACAGGGGCAGCCAGGGCCTCCCGGAGGCAGCTTCTGAGCTGAGCAACAGAGAGCTCTGTGATGCAAGGGACCGAAAGCACTTGCAAGGGTTGCCCTGTTGAGTGGGAGGCAGGACATGCAGGAGGATGGGTCAGGGAGAGAGGCAGAGCCTGAGTCCTGAGGCCTAGCATGGCAGGTTATAGGGTCATGGGGAGCCACACAGGGGGCTAACATGAGCGGGCTGCTGCCCACAGATTGCCCCTCCTGGGTGGAAGTGCGGAAGACACACGAGGAGGGTGGAACTGGAGGCAGAGAGAGCAGAGAGGAGGCTCTTGCAGCAATACCAGTGGGAAGGAATCGTACCCACACTCAGGCGTCGCCATGGGGATGGAGAGAAGAGACTGCCTGGATCTATTAGGAGACTGCACTTAGAGAGTGCTGTGTGCATGGATGGGTGAGGGGGACGGGAGAAGCTAGGATGACCTGCAGGAGTCCAGCCTCAACACTGTGGGGATGGTTGACCTGCTGAGCGGGACCACAGAGGAAGGGGCGGACATAGGAAACAAGAGCCTTCCAGGCAAAGGGAGCAGCATGGGCAAAGGCAGGAAGGCATAACTCGAATCATCTGATCGGGGAACGATGACAGCATCCATTGCACTGCTCCGCTGTCCATCTCAATCCTTCCGGTAGTAATCTCAGCCCTGGGTCTTGCCTGAGCTCAGCCACTTGAGGCACAGGTCAGACAACCTGGAGGACCCGTGAGCTCCCACTTTGCTGGGGCAGCCCTAGCTTGAGCCTCACCTGCTGAGTCCCACTCCTCCCCCCAAGCACGTTGCACACATCCAGGGGCAGCATGCACGCTGGGGTCTTATGTAAATGGCGCCCCCTGGAGACCAACGCGTGCCTGTGCCTCCCTCTTCAGCTTTCCAGCCCAGACCACATGCTGCTGTATGTCCCTAGCCAGATGAAAACATGCTCCACAACCATCAAGGGAGAAAAGATTAGGAATCTGTGTATTGGAAATTCTAGGAGGTGGTGGAGTGACAAACTGGTATGTTGGTGCCAAATAACTCCTAGGGGGTTTGCTTGTTTAACCAATGTTAGCTCTTAAACATCTAAACTTGAATGGCTTTAAGTGAGCATCTTCAATTTTCAAAATGCCCCACCACTCCCTAGTGTCTTAGACCCACCTGTTTTACTAACCTATGCACTTGCCTAGCCCCTGAAGGGAGGAGGAGGGACTTGGGGCCACAGGGATCTAGATTTTGGATCCTGGCTCTGGAATTTCTTTCCCTCTTTGAACCTCATTTTCTTCATCTACTAGAAGGAGAGTAACACCCTGCAGGGTTGCTCTGAGGGATAAATGAGCTAAGTACTGGTTATCATTAAGGACTAAAAACATACAAACTAATGTTTTGGGGTATATGCTGCCACCCCAAAGGACAGAATTAGGATGAAATTTGAATAAACATGTGCAAGTTACAGGGAGACAGATTTAGCTCCATATGAAATACAAATTGATACATTTAGCTCAATTTTTAGTGGTTAACACACTGCAGATGGGATAGATGACTTTAGGAAGTAGTGTGTTCCCCATGATAGGAGGTATTTAAACACAAAATGCTATGGAGGGGTCCAAGACTCAGACCAAGGGTAAAAAGATAACTGGAACATTCTGTAATCCCTATGGTACATGGTTTTCTGTTCCTCTGTATGTGTTGCAGATAAGGCCAACTTGCCAAAGCATCCACCAGTGGCTGTCCTGCCTCTTGGAACAGGAAATGACCTTGCCCGTTGTCTCCGCTGGGGAGGAGGTGAGTCTGCCTGCTAGTGGCGCTATGCCGGGGGTAAGCATTCCAGTCTACAGAGATGCTCTGCAGAGCCAGGCTCAACTTACCCTTGTGTGGATCACATTCCACAGAGGAATACCCAACGCTGCAGTCATACCTAACCCACAGCCCCTTCTCTGCCCTCCCTTCCATGCTGAGTCTGGAATAGAAGCCCCTCTTCTGGACTCCGTATTTCCTGTCATCCTGAAACTCGCCACTTGGCGCTGCCTCCCCGAGCAGAACATAGTCAACTTTAGGGTAAAGATCAAGCCTCATTTGTCCCGTCCCCAGAGCTCATCCAAGTAGGGGCTCACTTAGATGTTTTCTGTATGAAATTCCTCCTCCCCCAAATTACTGATCTTCTTCTGAATTAGGACTCAGAATGCAGACCCAAATGCCACATCAGCAGTTACCTAGAGTCGCTTGGAGCATCCAGATGATCCTAGGCCCCCAGGGCTATGGGCTTTCATTTTGAAATCACCCTAAGGGGGACCACAGAGTGGTAACCAGCTTATAGGGCAACTGGAAGGAACTAAGGAGAACTTTGCAAACTGCAGCAGCCCCCATGGAGCTAGGCATGCTCCAGAGAGTGGAGAAGTTCAGCTCAACATGTGGAGCAGGCAGATTAGTCTGGTAGCCAGAGGGGAGCGGGGACTCCAGATGGCTGATCAATTCAGAGAGTGATTCAAGACCAGGCAAGGCAGTGGTCAGTGTTCAGAGATTGGTCCATGCTTGCTGGGCAGGGTCAGAGCAAGCAGGAGCAGCCTTAGGGACCATCTTAAAATTCTGTCTACCACACTGTCCATCTCCCACATGACACAGTCCTGGAAGGATCTGCTGTCTTCCCATGCAGAGCTTCGTAGCCATCCAGCCCACCAATTCTCCAGGGCTTGCTTCAGCTACACAGGCCTGCCACCCTTAGCCAGCACCCTCTCCCTGCCCCCTGCTACTCAAGCTTCCAGATCACTGCAGCCTCTTTCTAATTACTCCCAACTGTCCTCCCCTTCTCTGTGGCTCGAGAACATAAGTGTCTTCAGCCCAGAGACACACTAGTGAGTTCCCTGGTCACAGACGCCCAAGGGCTTACCTACCCTGACAGCTACCTGTGTGTCAGCAACAACTTGGCCTTTCTTTTCTGGTGGCAAATGCAATGCCACTATCCACAGGTTACGAAGGGGGTAGCTTGACAAAAATCCTGAAAGACATTGAGCAGAGCCCCCTGGTGATGCTGGATCGTTGGCATCTGGAAGTCATCCCCAGAGAGGAGGTGGAAAACGGGGACCAGGTCCCGTACAGCATCATGAACAACTATTTCTCCATTGGTGTGGTGAGTTGGTCAGGGATTGCCTTTCTGCATGGAGGAGAAATGCCCAGGAAGGGTTCCCGTCTTCCATTGTCCCCTCTGGGTCCCTACTCTCTACCTGTCCTACGTGCCCTAGCCCAGACTTGGATCCAAGAATTCTCAAACTTGGCCTGGGTGTGGACACCCTGATTGCACCCACTCCATCCCCCACCCCTAGATTATAGAGGAAATTCTCTCCCCTATAATTTTAATTAACACAAGAAAAGACTTAACATTTTTCAAAAGACATATTTACCCTTTGGGTAATTTGAAGCAGTTACAGAAAAACAACACCAAGAAGTAACCAAGGGGTGAGGTGAGAAGGAAACTCTCACGTGAGCTTCAGAATCGGGAATTCTGATCCTCAGGGGAGAACTGCATGGTCCCAGGCTGCCTTCTCTCCTATTCTCTCCCTTCCTCTCTGCCCCGTTCCACATCCTCCAACTGCTTCCTAAATCTCCTCCCAGCTGGCCCCCTGCTGAGTGCACCACCCCTCCTGTCTTCTCAGGACCCTGTGCTCACCCCATCAGTGCACTCTCTGCATTAGATTGAAAAGATTGGTTTAATGTACCTGTCTTGTGTCCCGCAGCATGCACGTACACACACACACACACACACACACACACACACACACACACACACACACATAGAGCATAGGCTCCTCTTTCAACCCCCAGCCCCCAGCACATCTAGTGCAGCTCAGTTTGTTTCACGGAACTCAGCTTTGGCCCAAGGAGGATTGGGTAGGTGCTGCTTTCCCAGCTGTTGTGGGCAGGAGGGGGGAGGGTGGGTGGGATCAATCATTTCCATAAATAGAGCTGGGGTTTGGGAGGGAGGGGTGCAACAAAGACGCTAGCAGTTATTGAGCACCTACTGTGTGTCCTCCACAGTGCTAGACTTCATACATTCTACTAATAGTCCTCACAGCAATCCTGCAGGTATCATTGTCCCCGTCTTCCCCATTTTACAGGCGAGGTGTCAGGACATTTGACTCATAAGGGGTAGAACGAGGATGTGCATGGCTGTGCCTTACTCTGGAGCCAGGCTCTTTTCTCTCTGTTCCCCTGTCTTTGGAATGATGCCACCAGGTTTCGTATGCATTTGAATCCTTCCAGACCAGTGTTCTGGGCCCAGGCTGCGTGGCACCTGCACTCCTCAACCATCCTCACCTTTGCCTCTTTTGAAACGTTCAGAGGTTTAAAACAACAGAAAAGAAAGAGAAGGGGGAAATGATAGGTAGCTTGAGGGGACAGCAGGTTTAGGGAAAGGGTTTTATTTTTTTAATAAGGCTAAAATGAAAACCATGGGAGAGGAAAGGATTCAAAATAATAATATCTTATATTTACAGAACGACTTAAAATTTACCACATTTACAAATATGTTCTTGATTCTTGTGACTACACTGAAGGGCATTATTATCTCTATTTTATGAGTGAGGGAACAGAGACTCAGATTAAGATTTGCCTTTGTTTTCTGACTTCTAATCCAGTGCTCTTTTTCTATTACTAAAACAGAAGAAAGAGGCATAGGCCTCACTGGGCTCATGATCAGGTTCTGAAAGAATGAAGCTGGGGGACTGGGGGTAAGTTAGGGGCTCCTGTGCCCTAATCTGATGTATCCCCCCCACACACAGATCTTTGTTCTCAGCTGGGGAGGCATCTTTCCCAAGACCTCTTCTGGGTCCTCTCTCCAGTGACCCATGCAGACACCTTCCCGCCTTTTCTTGCTTGAAGGTGCCTCTCCTTGTTGGGCCCCTCAGGCTCCTGTCCCCCGACAGGAACACGTGCAGTCTGCAGACATGACTGACAGGTCTGGGTTCGGGAGCGTGGGCCTCCCATTATCACAGTTTTAAAAAACCCTTATGCCTTTTTCCTGTAGTGATGAGAATATAACTTTCTGGCATTTATTGAGTGCCTACTGCACACCAGGCAGTTTCCCTATAGGTAGATACAGTCATATCCCTTTGTATTTTGTAAGAAAGAACCAAAGCTTAGAGAGATACCGAAACAAGTCCAGGCTGATAAGTGGTGGGGTCTGGAATCAGCTTGAGCTCCAGAGCCAGCTGAGCCAGGGACCCCAGCGAGGCCTCTCCGTAGCCCCCTCCATCTGCCCCTCCATCTTCACGCTGCCAAACACAACACCACTTGCGGGGGAGGGGTCGCAAAATTTAGCATGCCACAACTCTCAAGCGCCCCTTATCAGAAATGCAAATTCTACCCCCACAACAGAGTCTGATTCATATTCTGACTCAGTAGGTCTGGGCAAGGTCTGGGAATTTGCATTTTTGACAAGCCCTGAAATTATTCTGATGCAGATAGTCCTGACCAAGTCCTCAGTGAGTGAAGACAGCCCATCAGAGCAGAGAAGAATGGTCAAAGGAAGTGGTTCTTTACAGGCACAGAAACCAGAACTGAAATAAATGGAGAGGAAGCTAGAAAGGAGGAAAGAACTAGCCCCTGTCAGAAACCAGCTGGAAGCCAGCGCTGGGCGGCAGGACTGGCCCAGCTGCCAGGAACTTCTAGACGGCAGGTTGCAGCCACAGCTGCCTTCGGAACCTTCAGCCCCACATCTTTCCCTTCTTCACACACCCAGCTCTGGCTGACAAAACAACGTGCTCCCCCACACCTCCCTGTCTGTCTCTACACAGTGCCCCGTGTAAGATGGCACTCTCTTAGTACTTGTTGAGCAAATGAATTTAACACACCAAAAGGAATAGACAACTTCCCCTCAACAAAATAGCCAGGCCCTAAACCCAAGAGCCAAAACTGAGCAGGAATCATGATTTTAATTCATTCTAGCAAATAACTCAGAAAAAAGGAAAGAAGGAAAGGAGGAAGGGCGGCAAGCAGGAGGGTCAGCTAATTAATTGTCCCTCAAGGAAACACTTATCAACAGAATCTCCACCACTCCCGCGGTGGTCAAGGTCGTTCGTTATTTGCCCCGGGCTGATTTACAATAATCTAATCTATTCATTTTTAAAATTATGAAAACTTCACACTATCTTCCTTTCATTTTTTTCATACACTTTTAGCTTAGGTGTGTTTAATGTTATCCTGCCGGAGAGTGAAGAAGCAGGACTGTTTTTTTTTTTTTTTTTTTATCTCATTGGTGTACCCTTAGCCTTCTCTCAATAAAACATTTGCAGGGTTTGTGTGCTCGCTCTTTAAAAGTTGGAAAGAGAAATTCTTGAGAAAACAAGTAACCAACACGCAACCCTAACAGAGTCTGGGGCTGACATTTGCAGAAGGTCTTGCTCCCTATTTGACTTCCCAAACTTTGTAAGAGGAGAAGTAGGTATGTAAACCAACCCAGTTTTACTTCCTTATGACAATTAAACGGAGTTGAACTCCTTTGGCAAAGAGAGCCCTACAAAGCCTTGCCTCTTTTTGAAGGACCTGGGATCTCTTGCTGATATCAAATGTCTGCTGCCTTGCACCTACAAAGATGATGACAGTGACCCCTGCTACAGTGGGTTGGAATTTGCTCTGATGAGTTTACTTGGTCCCCTTAGTGCCAAAAGAACCCATCTAACAGATGAAGAAACAAATAAGCAGAGTCTCCTGGCCCATCCAGGGGGCAGGATGGCCTCGTTGCTGCCACATCCCATCCACATGCCGGCTGCCCACCAGCGGGGAACTGGGATAGTTGGCCTTATCAGTCCTTTTAACTGATCGTACCCACTGGCAAGAGATTTTAAACGTAGTCATTCAGAATGCCACTTCCTCTTCTGACTTCTCTGGCCTGCTCCTTCCTGCTCTTTATTTTTGGATTAGCAGAAGTGTCAGGATGGCCAGGTATCAGTGACAGGAAGTTTGGGAGTTCGGAATAATTCCTGGGGTATGTGTAACTCTGAACTCCCCACGGGCTCTGCTTTCACTGAGCCCTCACAGGATGGGTGAACAGTTAATCCCTTGATTCAATGAAATCTATTTCTGATGCTGGGGAGCCCAGGGGCCAAGGAGAGGCCACAGTCATCTCACTGACCCATGGGCCATTTTCCACTTTGCAGATTGTCGTTAAATATCAACAGCCAAGTTTTCCACAGTGATAAGCCTCCTGTCCATTAGGGAATTTGTCTAACAAGACATCATTTTCCCTGCAAACTTTTGGCATCTATCAGCACCAGGTTCTTATCTGTCACCTGTAAGGGCCACGAAGGTACTAAGACAATGGGACTCACTGAGGAATGACTTGGACAAGGGGTCTTCAGGCTTTTCCATTGCCCACTCTGCCACAATCTTCAGAACAACCCAAACTTCAAATAATCTGTCCTACTGTCTCCTTTCCATCTTTTTATCTCCATGGGTTGCCAAAGCGACTTAGACCTGCATTATCCAATATGGTAGCCATTAGCCTCATGTCGGTACCGTGCACTTGAAATGGGGCTTGTCCTAAGTGAGATGTGCTCTAGGTGTAAGGCACACACACAATTTTTTAAATGTAAAAAAAGATATAAAAAAAAGAATTTCAGATATTTTAATAATTTCTATTGATTGCATATTATAATGATAATATTTAGGATATCCTGGTTTAATTAGAATACATCATTAAAATTAATTTCATCTGTTTCTTTTTACATTTTTATTGGCTACTAGAAAATTTTAAGTTATATATGTGGCTTACACTGTATTTCTGTTGGACAGCACTGGCCTAGACATTCCAATATCTCAAAGTCCAAATGCCTGCTGCTTATATTTGAAAGGGGCCCACATTTCTTTGTCTGACCATATGTTTGGAGATTTAGTTCTGGAAAGAGTAGTCCCACATCCACACCTCCCATCATCTCCTTTTCACCCCACACCTCCTAGAAATGACCTCAGATAGTGAAGCTGTCAGAAATGCCATCATCACTTCCATGGGGTTGTAATTCCCATCTTCCCCTTGGTGTAATTATCACCGAGAAAGAGTTTGAACTGTTGTAGTCCTGGTTTCCAAAATTCAAATAAAGCCACCACTGATTGTAAATATATGCCCAGGCCATCGTCCGACACAGAGAAGCTCAAGAGAGTGCAGGTGACTCCTAACTCTACTTTTAATCCTCAGGTAGCTAAACACGGTCCGTCTTTACCATCATTGCCTTTTTAAGACTTAGCAAAGGGGCCGCTCAACTCACCTGTGCTATTTTGTGTATTTGCCAAGGGATTGTCAAATTAGAAACCACATGCTTATCTAAAAATATTGTAAAGGCTGGTCTTTGTGATAAGAAGCTTTGCAAAAACCTAGTTATGGAGAAACCAAAGACAATCAGAACTATGCAGGAGGAGGCCTATGTACATATCCTGAAGAAATTAAAAAAATGTGGAGCCAGTCACAGCAGTATTGAGGGTAATGAGGTACCAATCATGCCAAGCAACATGGGATTCTTTTGTTCTTTCCTTTTTTTGTTTTTGTTTTTGTTTTCTGGCAGAAAAAAAAATAGTGCTTCAAAGGAACACAAGTAGATAGAATGTTTTCTTGAATACTAGAGATGCATTTGACCAATGTCACGTGAATCTTGAGAGTGTTTGCTGAAATTTACTCAGAGAGAGGGAGGTGGGCACCCCTAGGAGCCAGTTCTGCCTCCAAGAGAAGCAGTGCAGGCTGCGCAGGCCGTGGGGGCAGAGGCCTCCCTGCAGTCTGCACCCTCCTCCACGCATCCGCTGGGTGCCCCAACAAGACCTTCCGCTCTTACTGTGTCTTAAACTAAAAAATAAATCAATCGCTAAAGTTTAATTGTTAAACTTTCAAGACTGGTTCAGCAAGGGACGTTCACCAACCTCAAAGTAAGCCTGTCTTCTTGACTTGCCCTCCCCACTTTTCCAAAGCAGGGTTGCTGGCAGGCTGACTCCAGTGCCAGTTGCAGATCATCACACACAGTACATGCTCAAAAGAGAAGATTACTTGAGCCTTCACTGAACTATACATCCTGATGTTAAAAAAAAAAAAAAAAAATCAACATTCAAAAATATCTGGGCACAGTAGCACATGCCTGTAATCTCAGCATTTGGGAAGGCCAGGGCAGGAGGATCACTTGAGGCAAGGAGTTCAAGTCCAGCCAGGGCAACATAGCAAGACCTTGTCTTTATAAAAAAATTAAAAAATTATCTGGGTATGGTGTCATGTGCCTATAGTCCCAGCTTATTGGGAGGCTGAGTCAGGAAGATTACTTGAGCCCAAGAGTTTGAGGTTACAGTGAGTTATGATCATGCCTGAGCAACAGAGCGGGACCCTGTCTCTAAAAAGAAAGAAAAAGAAATTTCCGTATTAGAAGTAGAATTAATATGCATTAGCTGAAAATTCACTGTATGGAATTTCAGGTGTCTTTTAGGCACGTATACCAGTAAATGGGCTGCTGTATTTTTTGCTCTTGAGCAAATCTGAATCAGCTCCCTGGTTTCTGTGTCACCCCTCATCTCCAGCCCAATTTTTAGCGTGTTTATTTCTGAGGCCCAGCACCTGCACCCAATGCGCTGGTGTGGGGCCTGCGCGGTGAAGGGCCTTCTACATTCTTCTGCTGAAAAATGAGAGCATTGATGAGGACAGAAGACCAAGTTTAAGGAGGGAAGATGAGACCAGTTTTAAGTCTGAAGCTCAGGGTTGGTTCTAGGGATGTACACTGTGGAGCCATCAGCACCTAGAGGCGGGAACCACCACGAGCACTCAGGAGATGGCCCACAATGCGGAGTGTGAGCTGCACGGAGAACTCAGGGCTGAGAAGTTCTGGCCAGAGGATGGAGATCCCAGAAGCATGGTGTCATGAGCGCCATCCCCACTGTGAGTTCTGAGGTACAGGTGGCCAGTAGCACAACAAAGGGATGTGCTACCAGGACCGTCAACTGTCCCATAGGATGTAGTGATGAGACTCTTATTAACATTGGAGAGAGTCCTTTAAGTGGAGTGATCCAGAAGCAGAAGGCAAAATGTAATATTGGTTTAAATGATCTACTAAGCTTGTTATCCAATGGCACTAATTGTTCCTGTTGGTACAGATGATTAAGAATTAATATATAAAAGCACCTACCAATGTCAGGTTTCTGTTTTTGACGACATAATGTAGATATGTAAGAGGATCCCTTAGGGGGAAGCTGGATGAAAGGGATATAGGGAATCTGTATCATTTTTGCAACTTCTTGTAAGTCGAAATTTTCCAAAATAACAAATTATTTTGTAAAAAAGAGTTACCGTGGCAAGGCATTTCCGAAGACTCACGCTCGGCCCTGCACACAGGCTCCTGCTCTCTGACTGCTCACCGGCTCTCGCCCTCCTCCAAGGGCAGCAGCTTTCCCTTCACTCACCGGAACTATCTGCTTCTCACTGGGCCTGGGACAGGGTGAAAAGGGCAAGGCCTCCAGAGTGAACCGGCATGGGCTCTGGGAGTATTGGTGGTACTAGCTCACCCCCTTGGACAGGGTGTTGAGCCTCGGCTGTGACATGGTGCCTTTCCCAGAGATGGAGTGTCAGGGCTGGCATGATTCAGGGAGGGCACATGTGTGTCCCTTCCCTCCACCTTGCACAGTCATGACCACTCACCAAGGGTCTGCTTTCGTCTCTTTCACTTTCAGGATGCTTCCATTGCACACAGATTCCACGTGATGAGAGAGAAACACCCTGAAAAATTCAACAGCAGGTAAGACGGCTGCAAGCCCAGCCCCCTCTGCCACCCATTCGGTGTGGTCCCCAGACAGCGGCCTCCCACCTGCTCTCCGGAAATGTTCTTGGCCCGGGGCTGCCTGGGGACTTGGCCTGCCTGCCACGTTGCCGGAAGGAGGGTTTCCATTTCCAAGAGGAAAAAAAAAAAAAAATGCCAGAAACATGTCACAGCCTGGCGGCCTGTTCCCTCCCAGAGGGATCTGTGCAGAAGGAGGGATTGGAAGGGAGGAGGGGACCCACGGAACACCCACCTGTGGGGGCTGGGAGGGGATCTGCTCTTGGCTAACTGGAACTGTCTCCTGGGGCTTGGCCACTTTCTTGTACAGTGTCTCCACCTCTAGCCCCCCACAATTCTTCTGGGAAAGGGCAGAGAAGGTGGAAGGGGCCTAAGCTTCTCTTGATCTCAAACGGTGGGGTGAGGGGAGGTGGCAGTTCTGAGGCTTGGACCAGGAGGAGGGAAAGAGTAAAGGGGGACTGGAAGCCCTGTGGTGGGGTGGGGGTGGGGGTCACCTCTGCATCCCCAGACAGCAGAGGGCAGAAGAGGGCAGGTGCCCCGGAGCCCACCAAGCCCCAGCCTCAGCCTAGATACCTTGGGTTGATATCTAAATGTTAGGTTCAAAAATGAAAGGAAAAAGAAAACCAGATCGTAGCTGGGCGCGGTGGCTCACGCCTGTAATCCTAGCACTCTGGGAGGCGAGAGTGGGCGATTGCTCAAGGTCAGGAGTTAAAACCAGCCTGAGCAAGAGTGAGCCCCGTCTCTACTATAATAGAAAGAAATTAATTGGCCAACTAATATATACATCTAAAAATTAGCCAGGCATGGTGGCACATGCCTGTAGTCCCAGCTACTCGGGAGGCTGAGGCAGAAGGATTACTTGAGCCCAGGAGTTTGAGGTTGCTGTGAGCTAGGCTGACGCCACGGCACTCACTATAGCCTGGGCAACAAGCGAGACTCTGTCTCAAAAAAAAAAAAAGAAAGAAAACCAGATCGTTTGCAAATGAAACCAAATCCTTCTTGCTTGCAGGAGAGAATTTGCCAGAACTGAGTTGTACCTGGTGTATAGCTACCCCTCTAATTTTTAATTGCCTTTCTCCCTTCTTCCTGCTTGCTCTCTTTTTCTTCTCATTGGTTAATGTTTATTCTTTCTCTTTGCTATTCGTTGTACTATTTCAAGATGACCACTGCATCCCACCCCCAACCTCAGGCAGGTGGGGAGGAGGATGGATAACAATTTGAACTTGATCTTTGAACCTGAAGGGATTGACTTTCATTTGGTCACAGGATTCTCTTTAAAGCAGAGGCTAGAATGTTATCTGAAGACATTCGTTTAAAGCCCAGCACCCCCAAAGAGTTCACCATTTTCATTCCTACTCTTTGCCCTGATCCTACAGCCTGGGAGGTTAGCCAAAAAAAGAAGGTCTGTTTAAGGATCAGAAACTGAACATAATGAAGCTACTTCTGCTTCGGGAAGGGTGACCTGTGGGATTTGGTAGCAGCTGAGCAGCCCCTACCAGGAGGTGCATTCTGTCACCGCATCAGCAGTTCTTGCTCCCTCACACACGCAGACCGTGCACATTCACTGCTCACTACTGACAGGTGCACTCCCAGCCCCTGCTGCTACATTCACAAGCTTCCAGTTCAATTGGCTGTCCTCTCACAGTCTTTTTCACTCCCATACACACACACAATCACTTTTTTTATAAAGTACTCCTCTTCCGCCCATTCTGCAGGTTTGAAAGGTCCTCTTTTCACACAAGTCCCCTTACACATACTTATGCACATGTGCCCACTAAGATGCTACATGCTTGTGAAATCCATGGGGGTCTATTCATTCATTCACTCAACACAGCATCTTTTGAAGACATACTACACACCAGACACTGTTCTATAGGTGTTTTGCATAGACCTGTGCAGGGCACTCAGCCCAGGGGTGGAAACAGGCTGGAAAGCAGATGTGCATAATGCTTTGTGTTAGCAACATGACTGGAGGGGACCGATGGGAACACAAAGCAAGGACGTGGAATGTGGCATAGAGCATTTTCCAACATCAGGGATGCCCAAAAGAAGACATAAAAGAAGAGAAGGATGACCCAGAGAGAAGGAACCTAATGCACAAAAAGATGTAAAAAAGTGAGAGAGTATAGGATGGTTGGGAAGAGCAAAGCCATTTCGCACGGCCAGTCGTATGGTCTCTTGGCATGGAAAAGAAGCAAAACCTCTGCACTTTGTAGACAACAAGGAAGCAGAAGGATGGAGAAATTTCTCCATAGTCCAAAAACCAGTAAACAGACCAACGAATTACATCAACAGAACAAACATCAATCATCCACATGATTAAATACAATTAGAAAGGTACATCTATCAGAAAAAACTGTAGTGTGCATTTCAACACAAAGTATGAACAAATTTACTGTGTTCAGTATAACTGTTTTTCCTTCCCACTTCCCAGATCCTATTCACAAGACTGCTCTTTGGGGTTAAGTTCATGTGCTTGAGGACAAGGCAGTGTGGTCTGGGTGACAGGCACAGGGATTTGCATGTAAATGTATCTGCTTGCCTAACAAGTGAAGACATAGAAGGATTGAAATAGCACCTGTTTCACAAGGTCACCGAACACTTCCTATTAACTTTGAGTGCATACTGCTTCTGCCCTGCCTGCCTGCCTGTGTCTAAAATACCCAGGAGTGCCCAATTTGTCCACTGAGAGGCAGGCAAGCAGCCATTTTCTTCAGGCTTCCTTATTTAGCGTTGGAGATGGTTTTAAATAGGCAGGTGGTTGTTGCCATGGTTACCCCATTACACCAGCAGCTAAACTTAGGAAGGGCCACAAGGGATAGGAAGAAAGCTTGATACCCAGGATTTGGAAATGTAAACGATATTATCAAACAAGGCTTCATTTTACTCGGCTGAACTTAGGTTCTTCAAAGAGTAGTCACTGCTTGGCTGGAAGCCTTTACCATTACTGCATGGGTCTGGCCTCTCAGGGATAACCTTGAGGTTAAATCTAGGGAGTTGTAATTGTTTTGTTTTACTTTGTTTTCAACAAAGGAGTATGACTAGTCAGGGCTAGAATTTATCAGGAAACTTGAATCTTGTGCATCGCAGATTCAGTTTTCTGGGCTGTTCTAACAAGAATTCTTAACCTGGGGTTCAAGTGCTTCAGGGGTTCTGAGAAAACTTTGAAATTATACTAAGATATTGAGTTTATTTTTCTGGAGAGACAGTCTGTAGCTATCAAAAGGTTCTTAAAGGGCCCCATAATCCCCAAATGGTTAAAAGTCACAGTTCTGAGGCCTCTTTGAATCCTAAGAGGCATCACACCTGTCGGGGGGTTCGGGAAATTCTTTCTCCGGTGGCTTCTCTACACAGGTTGTTGCCAGGAGAGATAGTTGGTTGCACAGAACTAAGTTACGTTCCCTGATGGAATAGCTTTCTTAATGAAATAGGAACCAGACCCAAGAAGGCAGGAGTATGAGCCTTGTGCGATGAGCAAGGATAAAAGGCCTTTAAGGGCAGGGATGGGCTATTTGGGGGTCCTTCTACTGCCTAGTCATTGATTGGCTAATTATTCATAGCTAATTTAGGAATGTTATGAAAATTGACATCTCATTTTTGGCATAAAGGAAAGAAGAGAGAATTAATTCAACTGAGATTCTAACATGTGTTAGGAAGAGTTCTACCATAAAGGGCAAATAAGACATGGTAACTGCCTTCAAGGAACTCATAGTATAGCAAAGAAGGAAAAATAATGCTCAAATGTTTTTTTACAAAATTACCTTAACATACAATGAGGCTACATTAAGTAGATGATATGGTATCCAGAAAGTTGTATAGTATGTGGACACTTAGTAATGGTCATATCCCAAACATCATTTGTAAATGGATTGTTTTGAGTATAGAAATAGTGTTATAAGGGAACCAAACTAAGAACTGTTATCATTTTTTGAGCTCCTACTAGATGCCGGGTGGTGAACTAGGTTCTTTAAATACATTAAATTATTTAAATCCCCAAACAACATTATAAGGTAAATATCAGCATTCCCATTTTACAGATAGAGGAACTAAGGCTGGGGAAAACCAAGTCACCTAACCAAGGTCATGCATTTTTTTAAGCAGTGGGGCTGATTTGAGTGCTGACCTAGCTCTTACCTATAGAGTTCAAGCTCTGTTTGCTGCACCTGCTGTCTCCCATGGATTTCATTTAACAAATACCTAGTATTAATACTAGACACTCTGATAGGTATTTTATACATGATCTCACTCAGTGCTCCCAATAACATGCGAGGGTAAGTGCTGCTGACCCCATTCTAGAGATGAAAAACTGAGGCTAAGGGGTAAGGAACTATCATTGGCTTCATCCATCTTTATGGATTGTCTCTATGGGAAAATGCCTGCTGAGTTCCAAAGAAGAGGAAAACAGGTACACCACCCACTCCTGCCTTGTATGGTATGCACCTTCTCCCTATTTCAATGTCCACAGAAGGGAGCAGGACTGACTACACGATTTTTGTGGCCCAGTGTAAATTAGTGTGGGGCCCCTTATTCAAAAATTATTAAGAATTTCAAGCTGGTGACAATAGAGCTTGGAAGTAAGCACAGAGCCCTTCTGAGTGTGGGGCCCTGTGTGACTACAGAGATCTCACACCCATGAGCTGGCCCTGGCAAGGAAAGAGGAATTCATAAAAAGAAGACACAGTTGCCAGGGCTCACAGAGGCAAAAGAATGGAGGAAAGAGGGTTTCAGCTAGGGGAGAAGGATAGGGACTAACAGTCCCTCCCACAGGCAGCAGTCAGTACTAACCGAGGAGCCAAGGATGCCACCAAAGTCTTCCGATATCCAAGAGCCAGTCCTCCATGACGTTTCCAGATTAAGTCTCTATAAAGGGTTTTGCATATGTGGAATCTATACATAAAGGCTACCTAATTCCAATGTCACTGTCAGTGAGTATCTAGAAAGCAAAGTCTAACTGGAATTTT